CGGCCAACGGCGAACAGACTGTAAACTCGCGCGTGCGTACGCCGGTTTGACACGACGGCGCCCGCACAGCAGCCCTCGCGAGCACGATCGAGGGCGACAAGAGGGGGAAAGAGAAGAGGGGGGACGGGGAGTGGGGCGAGGAGAGGAGGACGATACCTGCTGGGCGCAAGCGCTCGCCTACGAAATAGTAGAAGTCTAGACGGGAGAGAGCGGGCGGGCGCCCCCCCGGCAGCGCGCAACCGAAGACTGGAATGGCCCCTCTACCCTGGCGAAGGCATGGGCAATCTGCTGCATCTGTCCATATGCCACCCCCGCCACCTCCAGTGTGGGCCCAACCGCCAACTCAGGGATGAAACCGCCGAGATGCAAAGAACACCACAGAGGCACGTTCGGTAGCACTTGAAACTGTTGAACGCCGGCGGTTTTTTCCAAGGATTCGCAAGACCGCGAGCGCGGGCATGTTTTTGTTGCAGTTCACCGTTGCGAAACCACTGGTCGCCCCCAACACTCCCACGCTGGGTTCTGGTTTTGAAGTGGAGCGCTGCGGTCGCACCCCTTCTCCATCCCGCCCCCTTCTTCTTGCCTGTCTGTCCCCCTGCCTGCCATCCTGCTCTCTGCCCCGCCTGCCATTATGCCTCCTGCGTCGTGGCCCTGCGCGACCCCGCCATCACCGCGTGCTGCGATCTGATAAACTCCCGCCACTTTCGCAGGCTGCCGGGAGGTCCAGCGGAGCGACGCCCCGCGCCGACCTGAATTAAACCCACGCCATGCGAAAGGCTGCGGTCTGCGAAACTGTCGCCGCGTGCCCAGGGGAGCGACGCCACACGCAGGCCGCAATCAAACCTCGCCATCCTTGGGGAGGCCACGATCTGCGAAACTGTAGCCGCGTGCAAAGGCGTGCCGGGAGTCCAGCGGGGCGACGCCCCACGCTTGCCCAAATTAGACCTCGGCATCCCTTTGGGGGGGGGGGGGGGGGGGGGGGGGGGGGGGGGCGAAACTGTCGCCACTTTCGAAGGCTGCTGGGGAGCCCCGCGGAATGGTCGCCATCCCCGGGGTCTGCGGTTTGCGAGACTGTCGCCACTTTTTGAATGCTGCCGAGAAATCCAGCGGAGCGATGCCCCGCGCACGCTTTAATTATACATCGCCATCCACAAGGGGTGGGGGGCTGCGATTTGCGAAACTGTCGCCACTGCCGAAGACCGCCTGGCGGGTCCAGCGGAGCGACGCCCCGCGTATACGCCCCGCGCGTGCCCAAACCCAAACTAGACCTCGCCATCTTCGGGGGCTGCGATCTGCAAAGCTGTCGCCACGTTCGAAGGCTGCTGGGGGGGCCCAACGTAGCGACGTCACACGCTGGTCTAGACTAGGTTTGGTTTTCTCCCCACGGGCCCCGGAAACCTGGAGGCGCGCCAGCCGGCGTTTAGCTCCCGCGCTGCGCGCTGCTCGAAAGAACGGGGAAACCGGTTGGCGAGGTCGGCATCGCTCGCTTCTTGCGCTGGCCATAAACAGCTGATCCTTTGGAGCGCCAAAGCGACATGGCGCGAGCCGCTCAGCTTGTCCAGCGCGCCATTGGGAAATGACCGCCGCCCTCTTCCTCAATCTGCTTCGTTTGTTGCCGTCCTATCCCTACTTCGCCGTTTCATTGCTGCTGTTGCGTTTGTTGTTCGGCCCCCTCTGCCGTCCTTGTCCTGCCCATCGTTCCCACCCCCACTTCCTCTCCGACCCTGGGGCCCCAGCCCTCCCCATGTGTTGCTCCCCTATGAGCCGCAGAGCGCGCGCACGCGCGCGCGCTTTTCCCACATGCCTTGCGCAACCAATGACAGATGCTGTGTTGTCATATTCCAATATGTTCTAGACCAGCTCCTCATGTCACTTAATGATATGGGTTGGGTACGTTGCAGGGTACTGAATGTCATGTATTCGGTAGTCGGGGCATTCGGTTTTGGAAGCCGGACGAGGCTAAAGGTTTCTGAAGGATTCCGAAATTCGTGCGCGACGACGCGAGCGCGTTGCACGTCGGTCGCACGTCGTTCCACTGCTGCTGCAAAAAAAAAAACCTTCAAGTCTGTAGATGTTTGGAAAACGGGAATGCGCGCATGCCGTGTTTGTAAAGGTTGAAAGGCGGTTGATAAGCGGAAAAGGGTAGGATGGTATGGATTCGAAGTTCGGATGGACGGGTGCGAAACAACACGCGCGAAAACAGAGGGGACAGGTGGCGAGTGAAGCCAGAGGGGTAAATCCTAATACGGTTCTAGGCACGAGAGCATACGTGGTACAATTCATGTCTATCCGACCCGACGTGAATTGTCAACTCCACAGCTCGCACATCATCCCACCCACCCACCAGCAACTGGGTTTGCAAAACCCATGAAACGGCAATTGCGATGCCTGCCGGGCGCTGGCTGGCGCATTTTTCGCGGCCGCGCTAGCGCACGCATGCTCGCGCGCACAGCGGCCAGCCAGTCTGGCGCGACCGACGCGGCCGCGGTGGCGGTGACCGTTGGGGACTTCCCACCGCGTCTCAGAAGCCGCGCTGACGCGCGGACACTGCAACGCGAGTCGGTGACTCAGGCGGGCGCGGTACCATGGCGACGTCGACACCGGCAGACACGATGATGATTGCAGCGATTCTAGTGGCGACGATGACGATGACGACGGCAAGGCTAATGCAGCGCCGATGCTGATCACGCCGAAGACGATGATGGTGTCCTCGCGTCGGTGATGGAAGTTCTCGCATGTTTTTTGCAAAAGATAATGGGGGTGGTGGTCGATACCGTCCCTGCAGGGAGCGTATGAATTCATCTTTCGAACCATGGGGCACAAGCATTTGTAAACTGCATATCCCCGGAGAGGGGGTGATAATCCCGGCCTAGGGTTAAGTCGGGCGTGCCCTCCTACAGGGGGATTTTCGACGAAAAATAAAACATACTCAAAAAATACCCCAAAATATTCAAAAATACTCAAAACATCGTCCCCTGACTATCTTTTGGCTATTTTTGAATCATACATTCCCCTGTAGAGGGACAGGCCCGACTTCAGCCTAGGGGGGTGGCGGACCCTAACTCGTTTTGGACAAAACGGCAGTGCAATCCATGTGGTGCAATCTCTGTGGTGCCCTCGACGTAACGCAACGCATGTGCTGCAACGGACGTGGTGCAGCACATAGCCGCCAGAGCGGCCCGCCCAGGAGTCTCCAGCTCTGACCATCCCCCTCTAGCAAGCACGATCGTGTGCCCCGCGCCCGCGCACGCAGCGTCGCCTCGTCGGCATGCGCGACGAGGAGACGAAACCGAAACCGAATCCGTTTTCCCAGTGGGGGCCTCGGCCTCACTTCGATCTCACCTCCTACCTCCAATATCTTATATTTGGAAGCACGAAGCACGAAGCACGCCCGCACTTGGACACCGTCTAGGTTGCTGCGGGTGCGGCGCCGGAGCGCCGGGTGAGGTGTTGCCCGTGAAGCTTGAGATCATGCCCTTGAGGCTGGAAGTCGAAAGCTGGAGGTGGAAGCCTGGGTGGTGGAAGCTGGATGGTTTTATCTATAGAACTGGTTCGAACTCGTTCTGATAGTGCGTTGCGTGAAACGGATGCTTGGATTCGTTCCGACAGCTCCCTACCGACAATTTCTCTAGCAAAGCGAGGGGAGGAGGAGGAGGAGGAGGAGGAGTCCGCTGCCCTTCAAGAGGGCATCCTCAGCCCTCAGCACACCCGAGTGATGACAACCACAGCGCACAGAAGGCAAAAATTGATAATGGCCCCGGGCTCAGTCAGAAACTGCGAAACGCAGGCACGAAACTGCGCTGACGATAAAAATTGCAAGCTTCCCCGCTGAGGGGAAGGGCACTCCACCACGCGAACCACCAGCCGCGAAGGAGAAGTAAGAAAAGGCAGGGAAACCGAGGAGGCAGAGTGGGCAGCTTGGTGGCAGGATGCCCTGGAAAGTTGGCGGCGGCTGGGCCAGCACTGCCTCGGGCAGGCGATGCCGGCGATGGCGTCCCGCCGGTGCTGACGCAATGCTCTGGGATGCACGCAGAGGCTCGCGAGGCACGACCGCAGCAAGCAAGCCGCAGAGGGTGCAGAAGTGGAGGAGGAACCAGAGAGGAACGGAAGAGGGAGAAGCACACGGAGGGCGAAATGTGCGCGCTCCCGCCGGGCGTCCGATTTTGCGCGTACCGCCTTCAACGCAGGGGCCATGCTGAACTCGGCATCGTCCAACCCTCTGGCCCCGAAGCGGCAAAAAAGCAGCGCAGCGTTCCGGCCCCGGCGCCAGACACCCCCCTCCCTCCACCGCACCCTTCCCCCGCGCGCGGGGCGCGCCATGGACGGCGCAAGGTGAGGGGGACAGAAACTTGTCAATGCCGCTATAGGGGAACGAAGAATGACAGAAACGTAAGAACTCGGAGGTCCGCGCGGATTTCTCGGAACCGTGCTGGGCCCCCCCGGCGGCGCCTCTGGCCGCCGCCCCTAGCGCGCTCCGCGCGCCAGGGAAAGGTCCAGCGCCGATCCGAGAAATCCGCGCGGACCGCCGAGTCTTCACGGCTGTGTCATTCTTCGTTCCCCGACGCGAATTCCTGCACATCTTCCGGTGTGCGCCCAGACGAAAGGCTAGAATGTCGCGGCGACCCCAGGCGTGCCGACGGGGGCCTCTCAGGAGGCCCAGAAAAGCGAAAAACGAGGCAAGGGTAACTGTATTCGCCCCTGGGCCCTGGGCCCGAAACCAGGCGAGAACGCTCGTTGCAGAACAACTGCGACGACGAGGTCTGAGGGGTCTGCCGCCCCCTCGCCCCCCTCCTCTGCGGCAACTCATGGAAGCCTCCCGTGCCATCTTGATGGCTCTGACAAGTCGACGCTCAGTCGACGCTAATCTACGCAAAATCGGAGCGACCTCATCGACTACCAGACGCTAGCCGACTCTGGCGCTCTCTAAACACGGGGGCTGCGACGGTGTGCAAGGTTCCTGTGATTTCCCACCAACTACCCCCCTCCCCCTGCCGAGCGGCCTGCAGCTCGAGACCCCTCCCAGCCACGCCCTCGAGCACGACCTCGGCCGCGGGCCACGGGGCAGGCTCTACCGGGGTGGCGCACAGCAGCTTCTGCAGCTCGCTCGCGACCGGGACGAAGGTGCCCAGGCGGCCCACGGTGACGATGGCGTACCTTGGAGCCAGCTGGGGGGGCTGAGGTGACCCGGCGCTCGTTCTGGCCAGCAAAAGCGCGGGGACAAAAACCGCCATGGCTGGACGCGCCTCGAAAAACTGATCGGTCTCGACCATGCCAGGGGTCTGGGAACCGATTTGAACGGATCTGCCATCGTCCCCGCCCTGGACCGACTATTTCGGGGCCAGTCACGCGCGGACCCTCCAGCCGCTTCCGACCTGGAAGCGCATGTTGTCATCGTGGGGGCCCCAGAAGCAATGGTTCACTTCGCTCTATCGGTGCGCACTCTTGACGGCGGAAGCTGTGCATGGTGCAACCTGTACGACACAACATCTGAATACGTGCTACGTCGTGCACTCTACCGTGCGCACATACGATCGGAAACCTTGCTGTAAGAAATGTAAAGCTATGTGGTGTTAGACATGCGATACCATCGATGCGTTGTAAACTGGGTATCATCTATGTGTCACACGGTGCCTCCTAAGACAAACAATGCAAGTGGTGTAGTATACCGACTACGTGTTGCTCGTAAGTTTGAAATTTTTCAATTGCTCGCGTAAGCACTCCACCCACCCACCCGCAACTTGGTTTGTCAAACCCATGCGGCGGCGATTGCGATGAATGCTTGGTGCTGGCTGGTGCATCTCTGCGGCCGCGCTAGCCCGCGCATGCTCGCGCGCACAGCGGCCACTTAGCTTAGCACGACCAACGCGACCGCGGTGGCGCTGACCGCTGGGCACTGCCCAGCACGTCTCCCAGGCCGCGCTGACTCGCGGGCACTTCAGTGCGAGTCGGCAAGTTGGGCGGACGCGGTATCATGGCGACGTCGACAACGGTAGACACGATGATGTTACTAACGGATGATGGTGACGATGATGACGATGACGACGGCAAGGACAGTGGCGGCGCTGATGCTGATCACAACGATGACGGTGGTGTCGTCGCATCGGCAACGGATGCCTTGGAAGGATTTCGGCATGCGCGCGCGAGAGGCCCGCATGGTAGTATTTGACAGGGAGCGTACCCCCAAGCACGCGCGCAAGGCGTTCGAATGACTTCGACATGCACGCGCGAGAGGCTTGTTCGGTCGAATGTGGTAAAAGGTTGAAAACCGATGGTTGTCTGGAGAATTCGCAGGAGCGCGCGCGCAGACCATGTTTCGGAAACTGATGTTGCAAAACAATGTTTGGTGTTGTGTTCGGGCTATTCGATGTTTAAGTGATTTCGGCATGCGCGCGACGACGCGCGCGTATGCACTTCGTCTTGCCTTTTTTCGTGTTGTTTTGCAGAAGTTTTATTGAACACGTGTGACTCGTGATCGGCGAGTGCGCGCAGAGCATGATTTGCGGAGGATGATGGAGGGGTGTTCGACACCGGTTGGGCTGGGATCATACGAGCTCATATTTAAGGTGGACGATGGGGCATAATCAAGTGTAGATTGCAATGCGGAAAGGCGAGCGGGTACTCCTGGGGCGGGGGGGTACATCCTAATTCTTTTGCTTGACGGGAAAGATAAGTAGTGCAATCTACATGTGAAAAAATTGCGATGAAATCCACACGGGGCAATCTAGGACGCGCGGAATATGAATTGCAAAGTCTGTGGTGCAATCTATGCGGTGCAAGCTGCACGGTGCAACTCCCTAGAGGTGCCGCCGCGGGAGGGAGGGAAGGGATTGGGGCCCCAAGGCCGTCCCTGTGAGGCGGGGATTTATCCATATCCACCGCTTGGGAACCGACGTCCTGAGCGGGCGGTGGATATGAATGTATTTGGGCCCTGGGGGCCAGAATATATCCATGTCCACCTCCTGCCGAGGTCTCCAAAAATTGATCATCCAGGCGATGGTCATGTATAAATTCCCGCCTCGGAATGCCGAGAAATCTGCGCGGACCCCTGGAATCTTAAAAATGCTAGTGTCCCCTCTTTCCTGGATATCCGACGTCGTGATCCTTCACCGCGCGGCTCCACTAAGGTCTGGAGCCCTCCCCTGGGACCGGCCTCCCATCCTGGGTCGTTCTTGGGCGGTCACGGGGCTCCGTGATCATCCGAGCACGGCAGATGACCACCACAAACAAGATCGGGAAAAACGCGCGCGCTATTCGATTCTTGTGAGCAGCTGCGGTCGCGGGCACGCCGCCAACGACGACCGTGCCCTCCCCCTCGCGCCCAGCGGCCGGGACAGGACTCGCCAGAACAAGCATGGTGGTGGTGCGCAAAGTTTTGGTTCCAAGGGGACCCGATTCTTGTATACCACCACCTAGATTTAGGTCGGGCATGTCCACCTACATATTGATTTTGGACGAAAAACGAAAATACTCAAAAAAGATTCCCAAATGCTCAAAAACACTCAAAAAATCGTCCCCTGACTATTTGTTTTACAATTTAAAATATTCCCCCTGTAGAGGGACATGCCCGACTTAAACCTAGATGTACAGTTCTTGTTTCGGGAACTCGACTGCCATGGCTCCCGTGCGCCGCGTTGCGCCCAAGAGACCGAGAACAGCCAAGAGCTGCCCCATGAGATCCAAAGTCGCGAAAAGATCAGTACAGATAAAAGCTCGGCAGGGGCCCTAGACCCTAGGCCTGATCTTTCTGCAACCGTTCTCGAGCCGGCTCGATCCGTGAGGATCCCAAGGCCCGAGAGAAAGCGAGATCAACCAGTGCGGCACAATGCCATGCCCGGGTCTTAGGGTCCTCTTTGACATTTGCAAGCGGCGAGGGGCAAGGCAGGATCAGTCGGCACCGAATCGTAAAATCGGATCCAGTCGGAAGGTCCGCCGGGCAGGGCCGCATCGACACGGAGCGGGAATCGAATTGAATCGGCCGCGCCAGGATGTAGAGCAGCGCCGCGCAAGCATCAGGCCACACCGAATCTGCAGAAGACCAGGGATCGAATTGGATCGGGCCAGCCGAAGCCGATATCGAATCGGATGGATTGGACCGGAATGACCCTGCAGGCTCAGTCTCAACCTGCTTTCACGGCGAGAGTAGAGGAAAGAGAACTGTGCACATACACCTATTCTGGCCAGGCCCATCCTGAGCCCAGGATCGGTGCATACGCCCTCCTACCTTGGCCAGGAGGGCAGATGCACCGATCCTGGGCCAAGGAGGGGCGTTGTCAGGATCGGTGCACGTGCATCGTTCTCTCTTCGCCCGAGAGAGGCTGTAGGAATTATTGGGGGGGGGTTCGTCCTCGAGCACCCGTGCCAGAACGTGACGTTGCGCAGCTCCTCCCAGCGCGCGGGCCCGGAGCCCGCGGGCGCCCAGCGGAGCAACGCGTCGGCGCCGGGCTGGGCCGGGACGAGGAGGCACACGTCGCCGCCCAGCCGCGCCTCCACAGCGGAGCACTAAGACCGGCTGGGAGCACGGCGTTGCGTGTTTTCCGCAACGGGCGTGCTCGCTCAGGCCCCAGGGCTCCAGGGCCCTCACAGATCGGTCCGGCTCGAAGAAGGACTCAGAGCAGTGAGGTCCAAGGCTCTGGATGCGGCTTTTCGCGGTGTGGCGATTTCTCTGCAACGTCAGGATTCAGGACATGCATACACACAAACTTCTTGAAGTCTGCGCGGGTTTCTTGGATTGGCGCTGAAACCCACTCCCGGGTGCGCGGAACGCGCCGCCAGGGGGGTCTAGCGCAGATCGGAGAAATCATCGCGGGCATTCACACATTTCTGGTAATGCAATTTTCTTCTTCGACGCCTCTGGCCACGCCCTGACGCGCTTGCCGGCCGGCACGCAGCCGTGCGGCAGGGCCGCATCGCCCGCGTCCGATACCCGCAGGCGGGGAGCGTGCTCGGCATTGACGCCGTGCGGCACGATCATCACAACCCCGTCCACAACGCGCACCACCTCGAGGTGCGCCAACTACCCACATCCCCAACGAGATGATTGTTTCACTCCGGGCGTTTTTCATGGATTTCGGCCTGTGGTGCCTCGTTTCTGGTCTTGAGACCATTCGAATTAATCCGGACGACAAAACCACCCAAGGGGAAAGGAGTCGGGACCTCTCGGAGACGCGGGTGGGAAAAAACACGTCGGCGGATGTTAAGGTATGCCGTGAGACCCGGGCGTCGCAATGTCTCGCATAAGCAGATCTCGTTGGGATCGGAATCGCTGGTTCGGAAGATCGCTCCACATCGCCGACGCATCGGCGATGCATCGGCGACGTCGGGGATGCATCGGTGCCGTTGGCGTGGATACAATCGGGCTCCAAGTCAAGCCGCATCGCTGAAGCATCGGCAATGCGGCACGATCCTCCGACTCCATCTGGAGAAGACGTGGATCGCCGCGGAGCTTGCTAAAGGAATCGGAATGGGGTTCGAAATGGATGCGAAGGGGGGGATACTTATATGTATACATAGATTTATACATCTGAGGCTTTACCCACAGGTGCCTGCGACGCATTCCCGACGCATCCAAAACGCATAGGAAGCGACATCAAAAATGCGGCGGCTACTTGGATGTAAAAACCTTGGCGGAAACGCATCATAGTTGCAAGTTCGAATGCGTCACGGGATGTTCAAAATGCGTCGCGGCATGTTGAAGAATGCGTCGGGCCCGACGCATGTGTAAACATAGCGCAACGCTTTTTATTTTGGGCGCCGATGCATTTTGCAACCATAACGCGCGTCGCCGACGCATTTATTCATGTCGCGTACTGTGAGTGTGTATGTACAGTACTGCGCATTTCATGTAACTGACGTGCGCAAATATGCACTTAAACATGCGATAACCAAAGAACATAGCCAGGTGCATATGTATACATATAATGGTTATACGCAATTGTGTATGGCGCTACATGCATATCCGGGTTGATACACTTATTTACGTGTGTATATGCAAGTATATGTGTGAATACGTACGCGCACATGCGTGTTGAGAGATGGGTAGGGGAGCGGGGGGGGAGGGGGCGCGCCGGCCGCGCCTTACACTGCCTTGTGCTGCTGCTGCTGCTGCTTCTCCTCCTGCTGTTCCCCCTCTGCTGCTTTCCCTCCCCACGGGGCGACCGCTCGCGCAGGTAAAACACAGTTTGGAGAGACCTTCGCCGACGCAAGCCTCGAGGAGCGGCATTGCACAAAACAGATGGCAACACACTGATTGCACACAACAAATTGCACGCAACTGATTGCACAGCATATTCTGCACGGCCTAAACTTCACATCATAGATTGCACCACAGGAATGCCACCACAAATGTTGCACACGCAAGATTGCAAACCATAGACTTCTAGAAACATACGGCTTGGGGCACACGCTGGCTAACATACGTTGGACAATATGTCTGTATGTGTGTACGTATCGATGCAGAAGTGTGTGTGTGCATCTATACACAAATCAATGTATAACAGCAGAGCTGTCGACATATGTAGTGTACAGATGTGTGTTGCAAACGTCATGTCATATATGAGGAGTTCTACGTTGTGACTGCCCACAGTGTGCGTCATCGCGTGATCTGCTTTCGGTCGATCGGCGATGGTGCGCGCTCACGTATGTTGTTAAATTCCCCGGCGCATGTTTCTTGCAGTCTGTTTTGCAAAATGCGTTGGCGTGACGCATTTCAGCCGCGGCGCTCCCGAGACAACTGCGTCAGCGCCGACGCATTACAAAAATGCCAAACAACAAATGCATCATTTCATTTAACCGCATGCGTCGGCGCGCGTTTCATCTCTCATCGCGCGCTCACCAAAAAAAATCATCAACGATGTTGATAAATGCGTTGGCGGTGTCGGTAAAAATGCGATGACGCATTCTATGCGTTGTGGATGCGTTGGGACTGTGTCGTTGGCACCTCTGGGTAGGGTGGTGGGATAAACCCGCGAAGTGGGTTCCGCCCAAAAATCCCAGATCTGTACACCCTTCAGCCATTTGGACTCGTAGCCCACCTATAAGCTCGGCTAGGTCAGATATGGAACACCTTAGCATCCGCCCGAAAGCCCCTACGCATCCTTTCAGCACCCCCGCGGCGATCCAAGCATGCACCTTCCCTGGGCCCGGGATGGCCAGGCCGGCATCCGGCGAAAAAAGGTGGGTATCAGGCGCACTCACGGGCCACCCTGTCGGCCCCTGCGCCGCACGTCAACCGCGAGGCCGCGGCCGAGACGGCGAACTCGTACAGCTGCCGCGCGTCGCCGCTGGGCCTGACTTGGAGGCCATCGCGGCCGTCTTGGAGGCGTCTTGGCCGTCTTGGAGGCCATCTTGGGGGCGTCTGGGGCAGGAAAACCGTTTGCAACACTTCTTCCGGGTGGCCGGCGGGACGGGCCGAAGCCCCAGGGGAAGTTCTTTTGGAAAAAAACCAAAACCAAAAGCCCATGAGATCAGGAGGTATCTGGAGGTCATACCGTTCTCGCAGGTAGACCCGGTCATTCGAGGGGGGGTGGGAGGTGCTGGCGGATAAATCCACCTTTTCGCGCTGGGCGACCCCACGCATGCCCGCGCAACGGCACTGCGCAACCCACCCGGACCTCCGCAACTGGCAAGGTCGGATTATCGGGCGGGAGGGGCGGCGGGCCCCATGACCCAGGCGATCGCCAGATCCAAAAAACAGTCTCCTGAGATCCGACGGCCCTGAGATCCCAGACTCCTCGTGACCAAAAAGGGTGTCCAGCTCAAAAGGGGGGGTGCAATAGATTTGGGGAAGTTGTATTGCAAATGTATTGGTCCAGAGAATTGGATTGCATTGTATTGCAAGGAATGTACTGCACGCGAAAATCCAGCAATGCATCTGCGCCCCGGAATGTATTGCACGGCCCAAATGTATTGCAACCCCACAAATCTATTACACCAAATCGATTGCACCACTCCCTTGTCGCTGGACCCCCTTTGGGGTCAACCCGACAGACCCCCTTCGATCATGAAAAAGTCGCGACGGGCATTAATGTTCAGCCTCCGGGGGCCCGAACCAGGCCTCGGGACCGTGAAACAGAGACTCGAGATGAAAAACTTGCATAGTTGTCTGCTATTTCTGCACCATCTTCTGACTGGGGGAGAACGATTAAGAGACATAGTTGTCCAGCCCGCGGCCGGTTTGTTCTAATCGACATCCCGGGCGCCGCCGCGTGAACACGACCCCCGGTCATTTATTAATCGTCATCCTCCATTAAGTCGGGCATGTCCCCCCACAAGGGGATTTTCGACGAAAAATGAAAAAATGCACCAAAAATAATCAAAAGATAAAACAAAAATGGTCTGGGGACTATTTGTTGAGTATCTGTTGGCCTGCGAATCGGCGCTCGGTCGACGCTCCGCCGACGCTGCTCGAGGCAAGAAAGACACTGCATCGGCGCGATCCCAATAAACGACCAAACGCTAGGCGGCGCGAGTCTCGGGCGCTGGCAGGACGGGGTTTAGTGAGCCCTGGTCTAGTGATTTGTACTGGGGGAGGCCCCCCCCCCGCCCCGTTCCACTAACCGGAACTGCCGTCACCCGAGACACACCAGCTGCGGCAGACCTGGTGATTCCGGTCAACTCAGAGGCTCCAGGGCTCTACTTCTGACCGGGTTCCCTCATCTGGGGCCCTGGCTGCACCCGAGAGTTCACTCTGAAGACGGAATTGCGGAAGTCTCGGGGGGGCCTGGCGTCCGCCGACTGCAGCACCAGCAGCTTCCCGTCGTCCACCCCTGCCTCGCAGCAGCCCAGGGGGCCGAGGGCGGCATTCGCGGGCGGCACCTCGACCAGGCCGACAGCAGCAGCAGCAATCATGTTTAGACTGTTCGTTCTTATCTGCGCACGTATCGATCAACATGTGCATGCCAGGCCCTCGATACCCGCCGTCTTCGTCTTCGATCGTGCCCCCATTCGGTACATATCTTCCTTACCTGACACGTGTGGTTTGCGCAACCACCAAGTCACGAAGAGGAAGACATGAAGCCTCGTATAGCGAGGAGGGACAGGGCGCGGGCAGGAAAGGAGGAGGGAAGGGGCGCGGGGGAGGAGGAGGAGGAAAAGAAGGAGGAGGAGGAGGAGGAGGAGGGCGAAGAGGAGGGCGAGGAGGAGGAAGAGGAGGAGGAGGAGGAGGACGAGGAGGAGGAGGAGGAAGAGGAGGAAGAGGAGGAGGAGGAGCAAAAGAGAAAGCGCAGAAGAAAAAATGGTTCAGGGCAGGAGAAGTCGAGCGGCAGAGCCGGCCGGGCGGGTCGGGCGGGCGGGCCCGAAGTAACGGGAGGGGTCCGGGCGGCCAGCCCCGGAGACGGCGCGGGTCGAGAGGGCGGGCCGCTGAAGCGTCCGACCTGCACGAATCGCGCGGAAGTCTCCATCCTCCTCCCCCCCTCTTCCTCCTCCTCCCTCCCTCCTCCTCCTCCTCCTCCCCCCTCCTCCTCCCCCTCCTCATCCCCCTCCTCCTCCTCCTCCTCCAGCGAAAGCGCGATCTCCGAGCAGTTAGAGGGCTCGGAAGGCCACGGCGAAAGCGCGCTTCAGGGGCGTCGGGGGCGGGCCGCTGAAGCGTCCGACCTGCACGAACCGCGCGGAAGTAGGTGAGGCATGTCCTCCTACAGGCGGGTTATAGACGACAAATCACAGATGCTCAAAACATACCCAGGAGTAGCCAGAAAGTAATAGAAACATCGTCCTCATGCTATGGTTTGACTAATTTACTCCTCCTGTGGAGGGACAGGCCCGACTTAAGCGTGGAAGTCTCAAGCGATAGCGCGATTTCCGAACAGTTAACGCGTTCGGAAGGCCACAACGAAAGCCTGATTCGTGGGCGTCGGGGGCGCGGCGTCTGAAACAAATGGTAAGACGGTCCAATGAGAGAGAGCGCGATGCTCGGGCAAGTTGTGAGGATGTCCCGCGCGAGAGCGCGATGTCGAATAAGTGTTGTCGATCCCCCTCTGCCCGGTGCACATTGCGTTCTTCAGTTGAATGCCCCTCCATGGGTTCGTACCCTGTTTTTCAATCCAGGAAAATGTGGTCCTCAAACTGTGCGGTCAAAACTCTGGCAAGGGCAGCCAAAGAGCGCCGGGCAAACCCGAGCCCAGGCAAACTCGAGTCTCACGTTGGTCCGATGGGAAGGGCCTCTAGGACCCTCCAAGGCCCCGAAGGGCGCTGAAGGGGTTCCTTTAGGTCCTTTACGGGTCCTTTAGGGCCCTAGAGGCCCCCTTCAGGGCCTTTTAAAACCCTTCAGGGACTCCTTTCCAGGACCTTTAGGGGCCCCTTTCAGGGCCCTTCAAAGGGGGGGGGGGCCCGCGCCGACCAAAGGAACCCACGCGACCGCTGCCTGCGCCGCGCATTTCTGCGCCCCTCTCCAGCACCCGCAGCGCGCCAAGGGCGTCGTCCTTCAGGAGCGGCGACCCTCTGCAGGTGACGATCATCGGCTCGGTCATCACCACGCCCTCCGCGGGCGGGGAGGCACGCTCGGGCGTCGCTCTGTGGGGGGGGGGGGGGGGCGTTGACCCTGACCTTCCAGGAGGGCTAAGAGATAGAGCCAGGGCCTCGACGTCCAAATCCCAGTCGAGGTACTAGGCAGTCCAGCGGAGCCCCCAGGTCTGGAGGGCTCTTTTCTCGAAAACTCTAGGAGGTCGGGGAAATGAGGGGGGACCGAGAAAAAGGCGCACCCCTCGGGCCCTGAAGGCACCGCTTCAGATAAGTCGGGCCTGTCCCTCCACAGGAGGAATCTTCAATATTAGTCAAAAACATCGCCTGGGGACGATTTGTTCCTTGCAGTTGTTGAAACCACTCTGGAATACGTATTGGGCCTCTTCTACTTTTCGTCCAAAATCCCCCGGTAGGGGGGACGTGCCCGACCTAACCCTCCAGGAGCCCCCACGAGGCCCCCTTCAGGAGCCGTGAAAGGGCCACTGTTTTGCAGCCCTCGCTCCCCCTCCCCTTCGTCGCCCCCCGATGGCGCGACGTCCAGCGCGCTCGGGGACCTCCTGGCCCGGGTCGATCCAGACCCGGGTCAGTCAGGCATTGCACTAAGTCGGGCGTGTCCCCCTACAGGGGGATGTTGGACGAAACATTACAAATACGCCAAAAAATAGCCCGAAATACATTTAAAAAAAACATGGAGAAATCGCCCCCGGATCATTTTTTACTATTTTTGGATATCCCTCCTGTAGAGGGACAGGACCGACTTAAGCCTTGCAGAGCCCTGCAAGGTCCTGCACCCAAGCCTGGGTCAACGAGAGAAGGATCCTACAAGATCCTGCGGGATCCTGCGCCCAAGCCCAGGTCCATGTGATATCCTGGCCCTGCAGGACCCTGCAGGATCGGAATCTCTGGCCGACCCCCGTTTGCGTGTACCCTCTAGTCGGGCATGTCCCCCTGCAGGCGGATTTTGGACGAATCATACAGAAAAAGCGAACAAAACATGCAACACAGATTTAGCAATAGTCCGAAAAGCCTCCCCTGAAGACTTCTGACTATGTTCCAACAGTCCTCCTGTAGAGGGACATGCCCGACTTGGATTTACCCCCGTCTCTTGAGCTCGGGAGCGGCCAAGAGGGGGGTGTCGAAGAAGGGGGGGGGTGCAAATCATGACCGGCGGCATGTGCGCGGCCCAGCGGGGGGCCAGGGACGTAATCAAACAAGAAGAGGCGCCACGAAATCCGAGGAAAAACCATGACCCCCGCCATGATATCCACTTGGTGGTCCCCAAACGTGGTGGTGAGAACACCCGGTGGTGAGTTTTGGGCGATTTGGGTAATGGTTTTCGAGCGCTGGCTGACCCAGGAAACGCAAAACCTCGTGGCGACCGCGTGTCCCCAAACCCGGTGGTGACCCAGAATTATTTTTGGGGGGAATCGGGGTCACCACCAGGTGTCTCACCACCTGGTTTGGAGACCACCAATTCACCCCCCCTAGACGTCACCCCCCTCTTTTCCGCCCCCGAGTCTCTTGAGCCCCGGGACGCCCCGCGGCAACGCGGCCCGGGACCCCGCGGCCGCGGAGGAGGAGGAGGAGGAGGAGGAGGAGGAGGAGGAGGAGGAGGGAGGACGAGGAGGAGGAGGAGGAGGAGGAGGAGGAGCCACCCCCGACCTCCCTTCTGCCCCACTCCCCCCCCCCCCCCCGCCTGTGGCGCCTGTGGCGACCCCGCGCGGATATCCCACGGGAGGGCCGCGGGGGGCGCGCAGCGCTGCCCCCCCGTGCCCGGCGCCTCCCCGGGAGAGAGAGAGCGTGCGGCCGCGGGGTCGGGCCTCGGAGCCCAGGCTTCGGTCGGGCGCGTCGTCATCCAGGCGGATGTCTTAAATACAAAAATATATTTTTAAAAAGTGCACACAAAAATTCAAAAATGCGGGAGCATCGTCCCGAAATGATGGTAAACTATTTGTTGCATTTCCTCCTGGAGAGGGGCACGCCCGACCCAAGTCCAGGCGTCCGACGCCGTGGCTTTGCTCTCGACGAACACCCCCAGATGTCTGGTCCTCACCCCTGGAGAGCAGAGAATCGATCCCCATGATAAGAACCCCCACGAGCGAAGCCATTCCGTGAACGCACCCAAGGAAGGAGTCGAACAGGGCAGGGCTGTTCAGCAAACGCCCAGTGCCGTTTCACAAAGGCCAAATGCCAGGGTCGGGGTAGTTTTCCTCCCTTGATTCCCTGGGACCCGCCTCTCGTCCCCGAGCCGTCTCTTGGCGGCCGCGTGGCTCGCGAGGGCCCCCTGTGAGCCGACGACTGTCAAAAACCGTCCGCCGCGATGCTGTCCCAGCGTACGGTCGGGAACTTCTGCTGAGCGCGTCGCGCCGGCGGCCCCGGCGACACACTCTACGCCCTGCGAGCGGACAGCACGTCGCTCCGCTGCGCAGGGCGAGAGGCTGGGGAAGGTGGGACTGGGACGTGGACGGCGTGTCGCGCCGAGGCTTAGGTCGGGCATGCCCCCTAGAGGCGGATCTTGGACGACAAATAAAACACAGTCCAACAAAGACTCCCCAAATGGCCAAAAGCAGTAAAGAAATCCTCCCCGGATCATGTTTCGACTATTTCTGAATCTGTCTTCTGTAGAGGAAAGTGCCCGATGTAAGCTGGGGCGTGGTGGGCCAGGGCTGGCGACGCGAGGCGCGCCGAGCCGAGGCCCCAGGGCCGAGGGAAGAACATTAAGCGCGGCCCTGCCCGCCTGCCCCACCCGCACCGGGGGAGGGGGAGGAGGCGGAGGAGGGAGGAGGAGGAGGAGGAGGAGGAGGAGGAGGCGGAGGAGGAGGAGGACGAGGAGGAGGAGGAGAGGAGGAGGACGAGGAGGACGAGGAGGAGGAGGATGACGAGGAGAGGAGGAGGAGGAGGAGGAGGAGAGGAGGAGGAGGAGGAGGAGGAGGAGGAAGGAGCGGGAGGAGAAGGTGGAGGAGAGGGAGAAGGAGGAGGACGAGGAGGAGGGGGAGGAGGAGGTGGAGGTGGAGGAGAGGAGGGGAGGAGGAGGAGGAGGAGGCGGAGGAGGAGGAGGAGGAGGAGGAGGACGAGGAGGAGGAGGAGGAGGAGGAGGAGGAGGAGGAGGAGGAGGAGGAGGAGGAGGAGGAGGAGGAGGAGGAGGAGGAGGAGGGGGGGGAGGAGGAGTGGAGGAGGAGGAGGAGGCGGAGGAGGTGGAGGAGGAGGAGGAGGAGGAGGAGGAGGAGGAGGAGGAGGAGGAGGAGGACGAGGAGGAGGACGAGGAGGAGGACGAGGACGAGGAGGACGAGAGGAGGAGGAGGAGGAGGAGGACGTGGACGAGGACGAGGAGGAGGAGGCGGAGGAGGAGGAGGAGGAGGAGCAGGAGTGCATCGTGCTCGTGGCCCCGTGGCCGCCTCGCTGCTCTCCGCCACGCGCCAGTCGGAGAGCCCGCTCGTCGACCTGTCTTGCGAGGCAACGAGGGGGGTGGACGGCTTCCCCCAGGGCCGCAGGCGACCCGAGGAGGGGAGGGCGAGGAGAAGGAGGAGGAGGAGGGGCGAGGAGGAGGAGGAGGAGGGAGGAGGAGGAGGAGGAGGAGGAGGAGGAGGAGGTGGAGGAGGGGGAGAAGGAGGTGGAGGAGGGGGAGGAGGAGGTGGAGGAGGAGGTGGAGGAGGAGGAGGAGGAGGAGGAGGAGGACGGGTCGTATAGGGGGGGGGTACTGGTATAGGGGGGGATGCATTGACCGCGATACGTCGCCGACAGATCGGCGATGGTCCGCACCTTCCTGCGCAGGTTGGGGCCATTGGGCCCATACCAGCGATCAATGGACGATTCGGGGTCGATGCATCCCCCCCCTATGCCTACCCCACCCTATCGCTAGGTCGGGCATGTCCCTCTACAGGCAGATTTTGGAGCAACCATTCCAAATGCCCGAAAATATTCAGACATGGCCCAGCATGGCTCAAAGATCGTCCCCGGACCATGTTGTACGATTTCTGAGGACTCTCCCGTGGAGGGGCACGCCCGACTTAACCCTATCGTTGCCCCTGACCTCTCCATCTTGCCGCTCCGCCGGCGGTCGCCCCTGCTGCCCACCGGCAGCTGCAGGGTCTGCGGGCTGGGCGCGTCCTCCTCCTGGCGAGCGCGGCGTGCGCAGGAGGGGAGGCGCGCGAGGAGGTGCCGCCCTGCCCAGGGCCCCCTCGCGGGTCGTGCAAAAAAAACACGACGGACCAAGCGATCAAACTTCGTCCTCCTCCTCCTCCTCCTCCTCCTCCTCCTCCTACTCGACCTCCTCCTCGTCCTCCTCCTCGTCCTCCTCCTCGTCCTCCTCCTCCTCCTCCTCGTCCTCCTCCTCGTCCTCCTCTTCCTCCTCCTCCCCCTCCTCCTCCTCACACCTCCGACGCCGCGATCTCGCTTGTGACGTGGTCTGCAGCTCTCGACTCGTTGACTGGGGCCGTGCTCACATCCTAGATCCTTTTCGTTGACGGACCAAGCGACGGGGGGGAATGATACGCACGGCAGGTTCGTGTCGTGCCGACTTCGGCGTTGAACGATCGACCGTTTCCGAAGCGTCAGATCGTTCAACATCGACCGATTCTTGGTCGCCAGCGGCGTTCGACCTTGAACGGTGGCGGCGGGTCGTCGCTGGTCGTCACGACGCGAACCTACCGTGACCACCGCCTGGAGGATCGATTTTCGCGGACCTCCAAAGGCGGTGGATTTGGATACGTAGCACCCCGCAGTTGCGAATAAGGGCGAGGGGGCGGCGGGGACGTCGGCAGTCTGCGAGAATCCGAATAAGCCCGCCGCAGGCGTTTCATTCCCACGACGCATACAACGAGCCCGCCGCAGGAGCCGATTTTTCGATAAAGTAATGTAGGTGGGTCGCGGGTGGATCGCGGGCTCAGTCGCGGGTGGGCTGCGGATGGGCCGCGGGTGGGTCGCGGGCGGGTAGCGGAGTGGGTCGTGGGTGGGTCGCGGGTGGGCCGCGGATGGGTCGCGGGTGGGTCGCGGGTAGACCGCGGGTGGGCCGCGGGTGGGTCGCGGGTGGGTCGCGGGTCAGTCGCGAGTGGGTCGCCGGCCAGGTCGCGGGGGGGACGACGACAACAACGCAACGCAACAAAACGCAGCGCAACGCAACGCAACGCAACGCAACGAAACGCAAAAACAGCAGCAGCAGCAGCAACAACAAACACAACACAGACAACAAACACAACAAGCGCACGAGTAACAGCAACAACAACAACAACAACAAAAACAGCATCAACGACAACAACAACAACAACAACCACAACAACAACGACAACAACGACAACAACGAGAATAACAGCAACACCAACAGCAACAATAACAACAACAACAACAACAGCAACAACAACAGCAACAACAACAACAACAACGGCAACAACAACAACAACAACAATTACTAGCACGTGGGGACACACCGTTCTCACCAGTGCCAGGGTTTTCATAGGAGGCGGGCAATACCCCCACTTTGTGGGGGGCCGGTTCAAGCTCTACCAAATTTCCAAACGACTCTTCGCCACCACCCACACCCAGCTTCCCGCCCTATGACGTTCGGACACTTCACTTCGTGGCATGCGGACGACCGTGGCTACTATTCAGGGCCCCGCGGCCGACGACGACGGCGTGCGCGCGCGAAGAAAAAACGAATGTGTCCCGCATGGTATTATTTGACAGGGATGATGGCCCTGGCAGGTGCGCAACCGTTGTTGCAGAAGTTCGAAAAAGTTGCTCGCAAAAGCCCGTTTGACAGAAATGTTTAAAAAGTGTTGGGTTTCCTACGAATCCGCAAGAGCGCGCGGGATGAGATTTTGACATTTTTTTTTGTTGAAAAACCATTGGTTTTTTGATGTTTTTATGTTAAAATCGCTACGAACACTAAGGTTTTGGAAGGATTTCGTCTTGCGCGCGCGAATGTCCACTTTACCTTATTTTTTGCAAGGGATTCTTGAAGTTTGGTTATGTTAGAACAAGAAATGTCCACTTTAGCTTATTTTTTGCAAGGGAAAACCGATCGTAACAACACAACCGGATCCGGACCAACCCGTTTTGCCTGAGACTTCCTCACGAAAATGATGAAAATGAGGCTGCGGCCTAGGCGCGGCGGGGGGGTCGTGCACCAGGGGTCCCAACAATAATTATTCTTTAGAAGTAATAATCTTCAACAACAACAACAACAACAACAACAACAACAACAACAACAACAACAATCACTTTACCCGAACGCTCAGTGTTCTCACCAGTGCCAGGGTTTTCATGCGACGCCAGCCAATACCCCCACTTTGTGGGGGGGCAGTGCAAGCTCTACCAAATATCCACACGACTCTTCGCCACCACCCACACCCAGCTTCCCGCCCTATGACGTTCGGACACTTCACTTCGTGGCCTGCGGACGACCGTGGCTACTACACTGGCGTGGAGTACACACCCACAGAAGTTGTTAAGCCTACGTTCGTACACCCACAGAAGTTGTTAAGCCTTGTTAACCCACAGAAGTTGCCCCAGAAGTTGTTGGCAGGCGCGCGAACCCCGTTGCAAGAGCGTGCGAAAGTAGCTCGCGCGAGCTCATGTAACATAAATGTTGGAAAACCATTGTTTTTTTTAGGATTCGGACAGCGCGCGCGGGTAGAAATTTTGAAAAGTCGTGCAGGTGTTTTTCGAGGACCTACGGTGCGATTCGTGTGATTTTATGATGCGCGGTGCTAAAATTCTTAAGAAGCCCAATGGTTTTTGGAGATTTCGGCGTGCGCGCGCGAAGAAAAAACGAATGTGTCCCGCATGGTATTATTTGACAGGGATGATGGCCCTGGCAGGTGCGCAACCGTTGTCGCAGAAGTTCGAAAAAGTTGCTCGCAAAAGCCCGTTTGACAGAAATGTTTAAAAAGTGTTGGGTTTCCTACGAATCCGCAAGAGCGCGCGGGATGAGATTTTGACATTTTTTTGTTGAAAAACCATTGGTTTTTTGATGTTTTTATGTTAAAATCGCTTCGAACACTAAGCTTTTGGAAGGATTTCGTCTTGCGCGCGCGAATGTCCACTTTACCTTATTTTTTGCAAGGGATTCTTGAAATTTGATTATATTAGAACAAGAAATGTCATTTTATAGTGTTTTTTGCAAGGGAAAACGGATTACAACAAAACAACCGGATCTGGATCACATCGTTTTACCTGAGGCTTCCTCACGAAAATGATGAAAATGTAGCTGCGGCCTAGGCGGCGCAGGGGGGGCGCGCACCAGGGGGCCCAACAATAATTATTCTTTAGAATAAATAATGTTCAACAACAACAACAACAACAATTACTAGCACGTGGGGACACTCCGTTCTCACCAGTGCCAGGGTTTTCATAGGAGGCGGGCAATACCCCCACTTTGTGGGGGGGCCGGTTCAAGCTCTACCAAATTTCCAAACGACTCTTCGCCACCACCCACACCCAGCTTCCCGCCCTATGACGTTCGGACACTTCACTTCGTGGCATGCGGACGACCGTGGCTACTATTCAGGGCCCCGCGGCCGACGACGACGGCGTGCGCGCGCGAAGAAAAAACGAATGTGTCCCGCATGGTATTATTTGACAGGGATGATGGCCCTGGCAGGTGCGCAACCGTTGTCGCAGAAGTTCGAAAAAGTTGCTCGCAAAAGCCCGTTTGACAGAAATGTTTAAAAAGTGTTGGGTTTCCTACGAATCCGCAAGAGCGCGCGGGATGAGATTTTGACAATTTTTTGTTGAAAAACCATTGGTTTTTTGATGTTTTTATGTTAAAATCGCTGCGAACACTAAGGTTTTGGAAGGATTTCGTCTTGCGCGCGCGAATGTCCACTTTACCTTATTTTTTGCAAGGGATTCTTGAAATTTGATTATATTAGAACAAGAAATGTCATTTTCTATTGTTTTTTGCAAGGGAAAGCGGATTACAACAAAACAACCGGATCCTGTACACACCCTCTTTTCTGAGGCTTCCTCACGAAAATGATGAAAATGTAGCTGCGGCCTAGGCGGCGCAGGGGGGGCGCGCACCAGGGGGCCCAACAATAATTATTCTTTAGAATAAATAATGTTCAACAACAACAGCTACAGCAGCAGCAGCAACAGCACAACCACAACAGCAGCAGCAACAACAACAACAAGCAGAATCCGCGCCGCGGAGTCCCACTTCAGCCGCGCACCCAGGGACAGTGGATGACCGGTCGGCCCTCTCACCCTGATATGGATACGTCCACCGCCGGCTGGGCCCCCAGGACGTCGGCTCCGAGGCGGTGGACATGGACAAATCCCCGCCTCGCATGGACCTGATCGGGCAAGAACGGAAATCGCCGATGTTGTCGACTGGGCTCGCAGGGGAGAGGGTGGAGAAACGCTGACCGCGACGACGGGGGCGGCGGACGACGAGGCCGACCGCGCGGACGGCGGGGAGGGCGGCGATACAGTCGGGGCGTTGACCTAAGGAACCCCAGATAAGGAGCGAGGCCCCTATTTCCCATAAGTTGAACTTCGATTTCCGATCGAAAACCTGAGGAAGCCCTGAGGCAAGCTGTGAAACAATCAGGGAACACGGAGCCCCTCCCCAACGAAAAGGGTTCCTTCTTCAGGGCCCCGACGGTAGGAGCAGGGGGACGAGGGGCAGGAAGACACGCACAGGAAGGAGGAGGGCCGACAGGCACAAGCACCGGAAGACGAGCACAAAGCACAGGAAGACAAGCACGGGCACAGGACAAGCACAAGACCACGCGCAGGAACGAGGCACAGGCACAAGCCGACGAGCACGAGCACAGGATAACGAGCAGAAAGACGAGCACAGGCGCCGGAAGACGAGGACGAGATGGAGGAGGACGAGTACGAAGAGGAGCGAAACGACTCTGCCACCGTGCCCCCTGGCACGTTGAGGCGTCCTAGAGTGCGCAGCGCTGTCTGCGCGAGTTTCTGTAGCCTTCTAGGGGCCACAACCCATCATCGTCAACATCCTCCTCCTCCTCCTCCTCCTCATCCTCATCATCATCATCATCATCATCATCATCATCATCATCATCATCATCATCATCATCATCATCATCATCAGCATCATCATCATCATCATCATCATCATAAACGTCATTGGCAGAATACACCTCCTGTAGAGGGACACGCCCAACGTAATCCTTGCCCCCCAACGCTCCCCCAGGGCCTCCGGGTCCTGCATTTCTGCACTCCGTGGCCCCCAGGACGCCTGAGAGTTCATCTGAGCTTCCTCAAGCTGGGCTACAGCACGCCAAAGAGACATCACACACAATCAAGGTAGCCTCAAGACTGCCCAAGAAGCCCCCAAGACGCCCCCAAGTACGTAGCTCCAAGGGGACCCCCAGGTGGGGCCCAAGAGGCTAATATCGTCCCAATCCCGAAGGAAAACGTACATCTTTAGCGTCGTCGGAGATCTGTGTCGTCGTCGTCGTCGTCGTCGTCCGTCGTCGTCGTCGTCGTCGTCGTCGTCGTCGTCGTCGCGTCGTCGTCGTCGTCCGTCGTCGGTCGTCGTCGTCCTCCTCCTCCTCCACCTGCTCCTCCTCCTCCTGCTCCTCCTCCTCGTCCTCCTCCTCCTTCTCCTACTCCTCCTCCTTATCCTCCTCTTCGTCCTCCTCGGCGGCGGCGGCGTGCGCCGATGCGCAGACGTCCCAGAGAGCTCCAAGAGGGCCCACAGATGGGCCCGAGAGGCAAACCTCGCCCAATTCCCAAGGGAAAGCCTATATTCTTTCGGACCTACCCACCCTCCTGGTTTCAACAGCGCCCAAAGCGGCTCAAGAGGAGCCCGAGATCGCTCCAGGACGGCCCCCAGGAGGTCCCTAAGAAGGCCCCCAGGCGGCCCAAAAGAGAGCCTGGGCCCCCGAGCCGCCCAAGGCGGCCCAAGAGGGCCCCAGGGGAGCCTCAAGAGGGGCCCAAGAAGAGAACTCGAACTAACAAGGCTCGAGCTGATCCCTATCCCTGAGATTGGCGAGCCAAAAGGCGATGACCATCTTATGGATGCGCCCTCAGAAATTGAGGGAATCCTTGAGAGCGGCATCGAGAATAGGGGTACGTTTCGGGCTGGCAGCGAATCTCCATATCGGGCCCTCCGTCCCAAGAGGACCCCCGAGTTCGCCAGCAGGCGCCCAAAGGACCCCCAAGAGGCTCCAGGAGGCCTCCAGGAAGCCCAGAAAGTGCCCCAACAAGCTACTCAAAAGCTTCCCGAGGGGCAGAGGCCTCGCCCGTGAACTTCGTTTCTCCTCCGGGGATGGGCGAACAGGCGCAAGCCACTGGAATAAAAGACGGGACGTGTCACGTGTGATGAGGTTCCCCATCGTCCTCAAGAACGAGCGCGATTCTTCCAAATGAAGGATCCGCGCTTATGTTTCCATGTTGCATGATTATCCTCTGCTCCCTGGCCGTTTCAAGGACAAGCAAAGAGGGACCGAAATGGCCGAGGTGTCACCTGTGAAGGTTTCATCGTTGGCCCGACCGTGGCCGCGCGTACGGGATTTGCGTCTAAGGCCGAACCAGGGCGTTTGGACATGCGTCCAAGAGAACCCAAGGACGGCCTAGAAGAACCCAGACGAAACAAGACGAACCCAAGATACCCTCAAGCTGGCCCAAAAAGGCCCGCCGAAAGACCGAAGACGGCTTAAGGTGATCCCCAGACGGCCCAAGACGGCTTCACGACGGGCCCCAGGACCGCCGCAGAGGGTTCACAATTATGTTAAGGTGGAGGAGGAGGAGGAGGAGGAGGAAGAGGAGGAGGAGGAGGAGGAGGAGGCGGACGGTTGTCACTTGCGTCACTGGGCCGTCGTGGGGCCGTTGTGGCGCCCTTTTGGATTCCCGTGGGGCAGACGCCGAAACCGTTACACGCGACATCTGGGCCGTTTCGGGGCGCTCGAAGACGGTGATGAGAATGCTGCTACTGCTGCTGATGATGATGATGATGATGATGATGATGATGATGATGATGATGAGGGGGAGGAGGAGGAAGAGGAGGAGGAAGAGGAGGAGCAGGAGGAGGAACGGAGGAGGAGGAGGAGGGGAAGGAAGAGGAGGAGGAGTAGGGGGAGAAGGAGGAGGAGGAGAAGGAGGAGGAGAAGGAGGGCCTCATTTGGGCTTCACGGGGCCTCACGGACCTCATTTGGGCCGTCCCTGGTCTGTCCTTGCCTGGGCTCCTGTGCGGCACTGTTGGAGGTCACTTACGGCCTCCTGGATCATTATCATGGCCCGCGTCTTCATCAGCACCATCATCATTATCAGCATCATCATCAGCAGCAGCATCGTCATCTGTTTTCAAGGAAAGACTCCACATCCTCATCAAAATCAGCATCATCAGCAGCAGCAACATCATCACCGTGTTCAACAGTACCAAAATGCCCATCACCATTGCCGTGCTCATCCCTGACTACCACAAGGTGTACCGATCGACATCACAACAACCATCACCGTCATCATCAGCATCCGTATCATCATGATCATCACCAACAGCAGCAAAATCGTTATCAACATTAACATCATCATCATCCGCATAATCGCCATCACCACAACCATAACCATTTCCCACTCATCATCAACAACATCATCAGCAGCGGCACTATCGTCGCCACCATCATCAGCAGCAGCAGCCGCATCCTCAAGAGCATCATCATCATCATCAACATCAACATAAGCATCATCATCATCATCAGCGTAATCGTCATCATCGTCATCATCATCAGCATCAGCATCAGCAGAATCATCATCATCACCAGCATCATCATCATCATCATCATCATCATCATCATCATCAACAGCATCATCATCATATCTATTAGCATGCCCAGCATCGTCATCATCAACAGCAGCAGCATCGTCGTCGTCATCACCATCACCATCAGCATCACCATAACCAACATCATCATGACCGATATCATCAGCATCATCATCATCATCACCAGCATCATCATAATCATCCTCATCCTCGTCCTCATCCTCATTCGCATCATCATCATCATCAACAACAACATCATCAGCATCAGCAGCCTCGTCATAAGCATCAGCATCAGCATCAGCAGCAGCCGCAGCACCAGCATGTTCATCAGCATCACCATCGCCATCATCAGCATCATCATCATCGGCATCATCAGGATCATCATCAGGATCATCATCATCATCATCATCATCATCATCATCATCATCATCATCACCATCATCATCCTCATCCTCATCGTCGTCGTCGCCGTCGTCGTCAACACAACCACCACCATCATCATCATCACCATCGTCGTTGCTCCAGCGAGCACCCCTAATTCGAGCAGGCACTGAAACCCCAACACCGCCGAGGTGCACATATGACGGCGTCGAGCACCTTGCTCCAAGAACGCCAGCAAGACGGCCCCGTGACAAGCGCGCAACGTGTTTCGGCTTCCCCAAACGTCGATACTCAAGATGTCATACTTTCGGACCTGCGTGATCCCCGGCGCAAAGATCACCGAGAAATCTGGGTCGGCACGGTGGCGGGATTTGCCGCAGGCAGCTGGATAGCTTCGGCCACCGAGAGCTCTTACAGGCCATCGGGACTGTAAAAAAACAGCTCGGGATGAACCACTGGTACCGGGGAGTAGGTCGAGACCTCCTGGTGTCCACGTTGTGATAGGTCGGGCATGTCCCCCTACAGACGGATTTTGGAGGAAAAACAAAACATAGACAAACAATGCTCAAATGTAGCCAAAAATTGTAGAAACATCTTTGCAATACGATTTTTTCACTGTTTTGGAATACTCCTCCAGTAGAGGGACAAGCCCGACTTAAAAACAGGTCGAGACCTGCCGGGGTCCACGCTGTGAGCATCGTGGCGTCGGGGGCACGGGCTCCGAGAGGGCGTGGGGCTCCTCTGGAGGCAGGACCCCAATGGGGCCCCCTCAGAAGGGCCCCGAGGCTTCCTAAGAGCCCTGTCGGCGGTGGATAATCCTCCCTTTAGTAGACCTCCCCTTAGGGAAAACAGCCTAGAATCGAAACCGACGGACCTGGACCCGCAAACATGACGGCCGCGACGCTTCTCGTGAACCGAAAACGGCCAATTCGCCAATCGACGCGTCAGGGTAGGAGGGCCCCCTCAGGATTAGGTCGGGCCTGTCCCCCTTATAGGGAAATCTTGGACGAAAAGCTATAAATACCCCGAAGAACATTCAAAACTATTCAAACAATGCCCAACAAGTAGTCCCCAGACTATTTGTTGACCATGTTTGAATACTCCTCTTGTAGAGGGGCAGGCCCGACTCAACCTTCGAAGGGCCCTGAAGCTTCTGAGAGCGTTTCCATCGACAAGCGCGTTCCACTGCTCGCAAAGTGACTACTCGCAGATGGCCTGGCTCTAGGGGGCCACATGCGAACCCTACCCCTACCCCCCACGATTTTTGAGGGGGAGGGTGGGGTTCACTTCGCTCGGGAGCTCCCGAACGAAGTGAACCCCACCCTCCCCCTAAAAAATCGTGGGGGGTAGGGGTAGGGTTCGCATGTGGCCCCCGATGGCTCCGCCGAGGAGGGTTTACGACCCATTCGACCGAGGAGAGCATGCTTGTTTTCGGGCGTCTGCGAGCACGCACTCTGCGAGCCAAGGAGTGCGCTCGGTGATTCCAAGAAGCCTCGGTCGGGGGAAACGAAAGGGGGGGATAGCAACTGGCAGGGTAGAGAATCAGCTCACGCAGCCGATTTTCCCAGCGCCTCCCGGCGCCAGGAGGCGCCCGTGCATCGAGGAAGGGGCCTGGCGGCGGGGCCGAAACAAGCCGCATGCAGCAGACTTCGTGACCCCACCCTTTCCCGACCCCCCCCCCCTTTCGTTCGGCCCGACTCAGGGCCTCTGGTCCCCCTCCTCCTCCTCCTCCTCCTCCCCCTCCTCCTCCTCCTCCTCCTCCTCTTCCTCCTCCTCCTCCTCCTACTCCTCCTCCTCTTCCTCCTCCTCCTCCTCCTCCTCCTCCTCCTCCTCCTGATCCTCCTCCAGGAGGGCTCCTGCCCTCCTGGGACCCGGAGACCGCCCCCCTCGCGCCACTGCCTCGTGCGCGCCGCGGCTCCTTCCCGCCCGTCGCGCGGCGCCGCCACTCGCGCGGGAGGAAGAAGAACCAGACGACGCTGCCCGCAGAGGACAGCAGCAGCCCTGTGAAGACCGCGTACACGAAGATCACCTCTTCGGAGGGCGGCGGCTGCGCGCCCAAAACGGAAGGCTCGCGGGGTCCACCCTGGGCCACGGATCGGCGCGCACTCCGTCCTGACGCAGCCAGGGCAAGAGCATGCACCGATAATGGGCCCGGGACCAGCCCAGCCAGGATCGGTGCAGGTGTGCAGTCGCAATCGGCGCCCTCCGGACCTCGGCCATGCCGGAGCGGGACTGAAACGAGGTGTACAGCGTCAGCGGGTGGTGGCTGTGCACCTGTGGCGGGGGACCAGGAGATACCGACATCGCTGCCCAGGACCACTCCGATTTCAGCGCGAATCCAGCCGTGGCGATGAGGGCCCTCCATGAAACTCAAGCAGCGAGAACGCGGGGAACGCAGTGGCATCGGTACCGCTATCCTCAGAACCTGACTGGCATCGTGGAAGATGACGAAGATCGAGGTGCAGCATATGGCGAAGCGAGTGAGGGCGTCCAGAGAGTCGATCGGAACGGGCGTGGAGAGGACCGAGATGCCCCCCACGCGGGTGACGTAGTCCACGAAGACGCTCTGAAGCAGGCTCGCAAACGACAGTGCGAGGCAGTGGGACTGGAACGAGTCCATCCAGATGTCCTGCCCGCTTAGAGAGGAGAACGATGAGAAGGATGATGAAGGGAAAGAAAAGCTAGACTTCGGCCTCTACGGTCACGTTTCGGGCCCAGGGGTCTTCAAAACCCGAGCCAAGACAAACAGACTATCAGGATGGATTATGACGGGATCTTGGGGATTTTTGGGCCGACATTGATCGGAGGACCAGGAAGAGGAGGAGACGAAGGAGGAACAGGACGAGGAGAAAGAGAAGGAGATAATGGAGCAACGTCTGTAGAAATGGCCAGCGATAAGAGACCGAGACACACTTGGCACAGAACGCGTGCCCTATACGCGGGCGCGTCCTCGAAACCAGTGCCGCCAGTGCGCCGCTGACCCCCGACGTCATGATTTGTTTCACGACGCGACCCCCAAGAGGTCCAGACCTATTCCCCAGGACCGGCTTTTCATCCAGAGTCGTTTGCTGACCGTCCTGACGCCCCGCGAGGGCCCCCAGATGCCAGAAATGGCACAACAACGAAAAACCTGGCGTCATGACTTTTTCGTTGCTCGAGGGGGTCTGGGACGCCGGAGCCCCCTCGCGAGAAGCTGCCCGCAGGGGGCCGCTCAGCCGAGCCCCCCGCGGCCGGCCAGGTGGCAAAAGCGGCTGCTCTGGGCGGGACTGCGACGGCGGGCCCGGCGCACGAGGCCGACAGCAGGCAGGGGCCCAAATGGCCGAGGCCCTCCCGTCGCCGAGGCTTCAGCCACACGAGGACCCAACCCCTCCTCCTCCTCCTCCTCCTCCTCCTCCTCCTCCTCCTCCTCCTCCTCCTCCTCCTCCTCCTCCTCCTCCTCCTCCTCCTCGACGCAGACCGAGGGGCGAACGCAAGTGTCCGCCGCCGAGGCTCGGGCGTGTGGTGGCGATACCACAGACGCCACAGCCGAACCGAATCGAAACTGCGTGGCTAAGAGCGCACCTTGCAACCGCCACTAGCCTAGCACAGCGGACAGAGGAAAAGCAAAACGAGTTAGCCTCCCTGGTCGCTCCCAGCGGTGGACGACAAGGCCCCAAGGCCCGCACGAACAAGCTGGCCTGCCCTGAAGGGCTGCACGAGAAACCACCACTTCTTGTTGATGGAGAACCGCGCAGGCTCTCGCGCAAGATTCGCGAGCATACGAGCTCCCCACGAGGCGGGAAGTGGCGGACCCGGGCAAGCGGCCGACAGGTCCGCAGACATTTGGACACCCCCCTTCCCACACACACACACACACACACACACACACACACACACACACACACACACAACACACACACACAACACACCACACACGGCCGCTCTCCCCCCCGACTTGGAACGGATGTATGACGTGCTCCCGTCCTCCCGCGAGGGCTACGCGCACATGCGCGAGGTCAGCCTGCGAGACGGCTCGGGGCACAACTGGTGGTGGCGGCATAATGGCGATGCTCGGCACGTGGGGTTTCGCGCTGGCTCCGCTGCGCTGCTTAGCGGGAACACGCATACAATCAAAATCGCACATGCGAGGCCCAACAGAGGCAACCCACAAGGCCCACTGCTTGAGGACGCGGGCCTTGGCCTTGCGAGCCTCGCGAAGGCTCTCGGGGATCCTCGCACGCTGGGCCATCCACCGTGTCCAATCATCAGCCTGTGCGTTACCTTCTTTTTCGAGACGCGTGGACAGTCCTTGCTGCACACTCGCCTCGGTGCAATGGCCCTTGACTTTGCGAAGGTCGATCATGTCGACTCCGCCCCAGTCTTCGGTGCGATCCCAGACGTGAATCCACAGCTCAGACCAAGCGGAGCGTGCCGAACAACAATGCAGCTGGCCACGCACATACACGCCGTCGTGCACAAAAGACGAGTCATTATACATGATCGTGCCAGGCGCGCAGTGCTGCAGAGCGCGCAGAAATGCGTGCAACTCAGCATAGTCAATGTCCACGCGAACGTGGTTGGCGAGACCACACATAACAGACAGCTCTCGAAACGGAAAAGTTGGCTGTAGAGCAACAAGGGCCCACGCCGCAACTTGGGCATGCTGAGGAAGATGCTGATCCATCCAACTACCGTCTAAGAAGACATGCCCTGACATGGCCGCGGGCCCTCCTGAGAACCATCGATCAGGGAGGTCGAGGGAGGGAGGAAGCCCAGCTTCGGGCACCAGCAATCTCTCGGCGAAACGAAGAGGAAGTGTCTGTGTACACGACTTCACTAGCTTCTCTGCAAACTCTGGTGGCGATACATCTGGCAGCATCTCGTGGATCCCGCCACAAGAGCCGCGACGATGTAGAAGGGTGCCTGGGGACTCCTGGCACAGCTGACAGAGGGGGTCTCGGGTGAGTTTGGCCGCCCATTGCCCCTGCTGAGGCCATTGCCCTCCGCAGAAGACGGATTTTAAATAGCCACACTCGGGAGGAAGGAGCTTCCTAGACCTGAGGAGGCTTCGGAGTGGCTCTAGATTGCACCCCTGCTGAAGCTCTGGCAAGCCTTCACGATCAGCGACCTCTCGCCAGGGCCATCGTTCCACCGCAGCTTCGAGCCAGAGGGATACCGTTCGAAGACCAACCTCGGAAACGTCAACGCAGCCTAAATCAGGGTGGGACCAAGAGAAACCGTCAAAGCTGATCCCGAGCCTGAGGGCTGTGGCAGCACACGCAGAGAAGGGCCCGCGGATGCTAGCCCAAGGGTTCCCGTGCCCCCTAAACCGCTGCACCGCCTACCTCAACCCTTGCCCTAGCATCCTGCACGGCGGCCGCTGCTCCCACAGAGCCGTGGCGAGAGTACGCAGAGGATCGAGGTTGAGGGAGTAGGCAGGATCAGTGCGTGGCGAATCAGCAAGCATGAACATGAGACTAATCGACTTGCCAGCGAGACTGTGCGCCTGCACATGCGCTTGCATCATGCGTGCCTGCCGAAGGTCGGTACCCGTGGTGCCGAGCACCTTGCAGCCATACTTAAAAGACGCAATCACCGCACTCTTCACCATGGTGTGCATGCGTTTCTGCTTGAAAAGCCCAGAGAAAGTTAACAACTTGCGAACACGCGCGCGAGCTGGCTTCCTTCTGCCCGCACGCGTGACCTGCTTGTACACTCGGCCTGCGACAAAATCAATGCCTAGGTTACGCTCGATGCGAGTCGACTTGACCTTGAGCTGCCTGAGCCGCTGCTCCAGACAACGGCGCAGCGTGGAAGATGAAGCGACAGCTCGCGACTTCTTCAGGGCGACAGGCAAGTGCACTTTCTTCAACTCGCAATGCAGCAAACGGGTGGCACTGACGAGCGCATCAGCGACATCTGACTCGCGACCTGGCCTCTGCAAGCCAAAGTCATCTACGACATTGCCAAGATGCACTTGCGGGAAGACCGCGCGCACAGCGTCGAGCGGCTGCAGAAGAAGCAGCTGCAGCATCAACGCTGCAAAATGACACCCAGGCAGGACCGCCTGGAGGGTCTCGATTGGACTGGAGACGGCATCGTTCAGAGAGAGGACCCTGGGGCACCGATAGAGCCCAACGAGAAGCTTTAACTGGCGGATCGGAAACCCCGATCGCAAAGCGGCCGACACCAACATCTCATGTCTGATGTGCTCAAAAGCCTTCTGTAAATCAAGCAACACCAGGGCACTGGCAAAGCCTTTGGCCAGACCCCACTCCGCTGATCCTGACTGGATCCAAACAAGCTTGTCGCTGGATCGGCCTGCCGTTGACCACCAGTAGGGCCTCGGATGCTGCATTTGCCAACGGGCGACGAGCGACTTCCTGAGACGGCCCTGGGCGCGAGCTAAAATGTCAATCAACGCGATGGGTCGAAGCCCTCCATCGCGTTTGGCCAGAAAAACCACCTTGGTCCAGATGCGTGGCCACGCTGCGGCCGTTTCGACCTCGACTAAAACGTCGAGGAGCGATTCTAAGGCGGGATCCGAAAGCCCCAGAAGCTGCCGCGGGCAGAGCTAATCAAAACCACATCCCGACCTCTTGGGAAAACTCCGAATGCACTTCTTAAAAACCTCGAGCGTTGGACGCTCGTAGGCAGGTCCGAGATCCTCTGGCCACTGAATGTGGCCATCAAGGCTTCCAACCCTCCACCACTCAGACCACTCAGAAGTAAGCAACTCCACCTCCTCCTGAATCGTGCAGGGCGCCCTAGAGACGCTGATCTTACTAGAGTGCCATGGTGTGGCTGGTCTGGAATGCGCATAGAGGGCAGCGGCTCCGCCCACGCTGTGCCGTCTGACCCACTCGCGCCACCCCGCTTGCTTATCTGTCTCGGCTCTGCGGTGTAGATGACTAAAGCACGGGCCTTCGTGACCCGCGCAGCTGCAGCAGCGAGCGAATAGGGCAGCGAGAAATACAGCTGCAGACGCTGTATCCAAGGCTCGGCGCCAAATGCAGGGACACCACTAACCTTAAGCCGAGCTTGGACACAGCGGCTGGGCTTGATGGCGCCGTCTCGCGAATGCGGCGGCTGCCACCTCGCGAGCCCTTCAAAGCAGCGGGCAAGCAGTCGCCACCAGAGGGCTGCTGGACTCCAAATCGGGAAGGCCAGCGCCTGAGGACAGGGCGGTGGCATATATGAGAAACGCAAGGGCCGAGCGCGGCCGAGAAACTCAGGCTGCCCTGCGGGACCGATGTCGTGCAAGTCCGCCAGGTCGAACTCCGCGTTGGTGACCCACAGCTGCCACTGCTGGTCGATGCTCATCCCTCTCATCTGCTGCGACGCTCGCACCCACTGGGGCTGAGGACCGGCTCGACGGCAAGCGACAGGTAGGTCGGCAGGGAAACGCTTGGGAAGCTGCACAACCTGGTACTGCATCATGGCCTTAGACACTCCTGGCAACGTCATCGACACTGGGAAATGGGGTGCGGTGCCGCCGTCAATGATGACCTCAATCTTGGCACCATGCGCGATGACCCCAGAAACGATGAAGAAGTCAATCACTCGACCTGCAGACGCACTGGAGTTTGCGCACGTGGCGCAGGCAGGAAAGATACAGACGCCGTCGAGCGCGCTGATCCACTCGCTACCCTGCAACTCGGTTGGCAGCACCTGGAAGCCACCCGCGATCACGAAAGGCAAACCTGCAGTGTTGACCACCTCCCCAACTTGAGTCAGAATAGACCAGTTGCGAGAGGACAGTCCCTCGGAGTGATGAAGGTACACCGTGATCCAAAGGAAGCCACTGGGTGTCACACCAGCACAATGCAACACCCGAGCGCGTCCACCCGCCAACGTGGACGGAATGCACTCCATCTCGGACAGGCCCGTGGCCTGCGGCACGCATTGCAGAAGGCCGCCAGCTGCGCCGCCAGCACGTGCGGGAGAAGCAGCCGTCATCACTGCTCTCCATCCGCGCTTCCTCAACTTATCCTCCCATCTGTCGCACTGAGAGGCCAACAAATCATGCTCTTGAACTGCCAGAGCGCGACACTGACGAACACGAGCGTGGCTGAGTACAGCTTCGAGCCCGCTGAGACCAGACACATTGGAGGTAACGAAAGTCCACTGGCGAAAGCTCCTCCTGATCCTCATGCTTGGCCCTCTTCCTGGCAGTCTCGAGCAACGAGTCGAAGATGCCCTGCACCAACTCGTGCTTGACTCCATGGGTGGTGGCCAAGGTCTCGGTGGAGGAGCCCTCGCCGCTGCTGCTGTCCTGGCGCTGGTGATCCTGGATCCAAGTGAGGAGCTGCTGGTAGGACTGCTCCTCGCGAGCCTGCTGGGCTGCGGCCTCTGCCTTGGCCTGGGCCTCAGCCGCGGCCCGCTCGGCTTCCTGGCGGGCAGACTCGGCGGCGGCGGCAGCCGAGGCGCGTGCGCTGTCAGCGGCAACAGCTGCGCCATCGCCTGCGGGTGGGCCGCCGCCTCGCGCGCCTCCCCCTGCCATGGCATCGTCACCAGGCTCAGGTACAAGAGCTTGGAGAGAAGGAATGAGGGCAGCCAGCTGCGCCCCCACCTGCTTGAGCTTCTCGTTGGCCTCGAACCCTGATGCAAGGGCGGTGAGCTGCTTAACGGGATCGTCGGCTGCTGGCGCAGCCATCTCGGCGAAAGCTTTGGCCGCGCGCGCAGCCGCATCGGCGCACTTGGCCTTGGCCGCATCCAAGTCCTGCTTGGCCTGCGCCGCAGTAGCGATGGCATTAGCGGCCGCCTCATGCGCCATGTCGAAGGCACGCTGCGCCTTGTCCCGCTTGGCCGCCAGCATGTCTTGCTCAATGCGTGCCGACTTGGCCTCCGCCTGCGGCCCACCTGCAAGGAGGGAGCGATGGGCGACCACCTTGGCCACCAGCTTGGGCGCCCACTCAGCGGAGAGGGCCTCGAAGTCCTTCTGGCCGAGCTTGGCATTGATCTCGATGGAGGACGGATCCAGGTAGCTGAGCTGCGAGCCTTGCCCTTTGCCACCACCACCGCTCGCCTTGCCTGAGCCCCCTGCCCTGCGGCCTGCGCCCTTGGGCGGCGGTCCATTGACCCACGCCCCAAGCTGCCTCGCCGCTGACGGTGGTGAGGGCACGCTGGGAGCCGAGCGGCCGCGCACTCTGCAGCGAGAGCGAGACATGAAGTTGTAGCGATACCCGCACTTCTTGTGGCCACACTGCCACGTCTCGAAATCGGCATACGCTCCGTCATTTGCCATCGGCCACTGCGGAGGAAAGTGAAAGAAGATGTGCAGACAGAAACTGGAGGGGACAACGCCCCAAATGCAATATCTGAAAGCTGAGAAGACGGTAGGGGCCGCGGATTCCCCTGTGCCACAAAAACTCTTGCCCGCTGCTGGCCTCTGAGCCACGCTACGGACTAGAGCCAAAATGGCTACGGATCTCCTCCTCCTCCTCCTCCTCCTCCTCCTCCTCCTCCTCCTCCTCCTCCTCCATTCCTCCTTTTCCTCCTTTCCTCCTCCGCTTCTTTCCTCCTACTCCTCTCCTTATCCTGCTCCTCCTCCTCCTCCGCCTCCTCCTCCTCCTCCCTCATCATTCCTCTCCTCCTCCTCCTCCTCCCCTCTCCTCCGTCTCCTACTCCTCCTCCTCCTCCTCCTCCTCCTCCTCCTCGTCTCCTCCTCCTCTTCCCCCCTCCTCCTCCTCTCCTCTCCTCCTCCCTCCTCCTCTCCTCCTCCCTCTCCTTCTCCTCCTTCTCCTCCTTCTCCGCCTCTTCCTCTCCTTCAACTCTCGTCCTCCTCCTCCTTCTCCTCCTCCTCCTCTTCCCTCCGCCTCCTCCTCCTCCTCCGCCTCCTCCTCTCCTCTTCCTCCTTTTCCTTCCTCCTCCTCCGCCCTCCTTTCCTCCTCCTCCTCCTTCCTCCTCCTCCGCCTCCTCCTCTCCTCCTCCTCCTCCTCCCGTCCTTCCTCCTCCTCCTCCTTCTCCTCCTCCTCCTCCTCCCCTCCCTCATCCTCGTTCCTCCTACTCCTCCGCCTCCTTTCTCCTCCTCCTCATCATCATCAATCATCATCATCCCTCGTCCTCCCACTCCTCCTCCTCCTCTCCTCTCCTCCTCATCCTCCCCCTCCTTTCATCCTCCTCTCCTCCTCCCTCCTTTCTCCTCCCTCCTCGTCTCCTCCTCCTCCTCCTCATTCTCTCCTTCCTCCTCCTCCTCCGCCTCCTCCTCCTCCTCCTCCTTTCAACTCCTCGCCCCTCCTCCCTTCCTCCTCCTCCCTCCTCCGCCTCCTCCTCCTCTCCTCCTCCTCCTCCTCCTCCTCCTCTCCTCCTCCTCCTCCCCTTCGTCCTCCCACTCCTCCTCCTCTCCTCCTCCTCCTCCTCTCCTCCTCCTCCTCCTCCTTCCTTCCTCCTCTCCTCCTCCTCCTCTCCTCCCTCTCCTCCTCCTTCCTCCTCCTCCTCCTTCTCCTCCCTTTTCCTCCCCTTATTCCTCCTCCTCCTCCTCCTCCTCCTCCTCCACCTCCTCCTCCTCCTTCTCATCCTCCTGCAGGCACGTCTTCTGAAACACTGGCGGTTGGGGGGGGCCCTGCAGCCGAGTGACCCCTGCGGTGGCGCGAGATGCCCCAGAAATCGACGTTAGGCCCGCGGGAAGAAGGGTTCGCAGGCGGTCGCGGGCACGGAGCACCCTGGCTGGAGCATCAGCACCTTGCTTGGAGCACCCTGGGCGACTGCAGCGAGGCGAAAAGCCCCCGGGACGGAGTCCAGACACCTGCTCGAAACGCATCGAAGGTCGCCAGCTTGAAGTGGAAATTACACCAGAGAAAAGACGCCTGAGGCAGGGAAGGAAACATAACAAATAGCGTATAAGGAACGATAAATGACGCATGTAAGCCTAACGAACGACCGAGCCCCTTTTGAAAAAGGAGTGTTCCTTATGCAAGCCCCTCACTGTATGTTCTTCTGGGTGGCAAACTCAACTGCGTCCGTGAACCTGGTGCTCACGTCGCGCCTGGGCATCGGCAGAATCGGCCACAGGCCCATCGCTTGCTCGGCGGTGCATTGACTGCGGTGCCGGACCTCTGTGCCTTCCTGGAGATCTGACGCTGCGAGACATGCAACGTCGCGATCAAAATCACTACTGGAACCTAGATCCCATAATTTTTCTGAATTGTTGGAGCAGGAACGATCTGTCAGGGTCCCGTGGCCCGAACGCGGGCGGAAACGCCTGGTGTGGAAAAATGCGACGCCAAGATTCCATGGTTCCTGGCCGACCCCGTGGGCCCGCTGCAGGAACTCTCCTTCGATGACCTCTGAAGTGTCTTGCCGGTCTCCCCAGCCACCCTTCGCAGAAGCTCGCCCAGCGCGGTCGCCGTGTCCGACGGACGCGCCCCGCACATGGCGAAATTCCTGTTGGCCTTTCCGACCACGGCAATAGCGGCTGCGGGGCATAATCCAATGACAATGTTGAGATACCGATGGTTGTTTAAAGAAGTCGCAAGAGCGCGAGCGCACGCTCTCTTGAAAACTGATGTTGCGAAACCATGAGTTATTTATGGCTTTGGGCATCTCGGTTCGACATCGCTACGGACACAACGGTTTCTGACAGACTTTGGCATGCGCGCGCGACGCCGCGCGCGTGCATTTCGTCTCATCTGTTGCAAAGGATTCTCGCGATGGTGGCACGCGCGCAAAGGCGTTCGAATGAGTTCGACGTGCGCGCGCGAAGCCCGTTGGGTTGCATTTTCTGAAATTGCTGAAAAACAAATGGTTTTCGTTTAAAAAAAAATCGCGAGGGCGCGCGCAATTTGTTTTTTTTGTTTTTTGAAAATCCGTGTTGCGAAACCACGTGTTTCTATGTGTGTTGTACACTCGATTTCGACATCCTTACGACACCAAAGGTTCTTTTGGCACGCGCGCGCGACGACACGCGCGTGTGCACTGCGTTTCATGTGTTACAAACGATCCTTGCACAGCCGTGGTGACGAGGACTCTCGACGATGGTCCGAGGACGAGATGCCTCAGCGATGGTCCGAGGACGGGATGCCTCAAACAGTGCAGATCCACCCTGGACCCCATCCCTCAGCACTCCATCTCTAAACCATCGGCAGAACTGCCCTCCCCTCGGGGATCTTCTGAGCCGGGTCAGCAGGAAACCAAAAAACTGCAAGGCAGGAAAAAAAACTGCGTCGCAAGTCTTCGCAAACCGGGGTCAGCCGATATGCGCGGCCGCCTCGCGGCCACGAGCGGCTCGCTAACCCGGGTCAGCCAGAGGGGGTCTCCGCAGGATCCTGCAGGATCCGGCGCCCTGGCTGACCCCCGTTGGCACTGACCCCCGTCCCTCAGGCCCCGATCCCCCCCCCCGGGTCCCCGTGCACGGCCGGCCGGCTCGGCGCCGTGATGAAGATGGCCGAGATGGTGCACACGAGCACCAGGCTGCTCGCGTTCACGCGCACGCCGGCGTTGCCTCCCCCGGGGGGGGGGGCGGGCGCCACGGCGGCCTCTCCCCCTCCACTCTGGACGCCCGGCATGGGTAGGGAAAGAATGGGCACTATGCCAAACAGCAACTGTTGTCCAAAACCAACAGCGGCCGCTGTTGGGCAGGCGGCCTTCTGTCTTGAATTGACACAGGCCGCGGCGGCGTTGCCTCCCCCAAGGGGGGCGGGCGCCGCGGCGGTCTGTCTCTCCTTCTCAGCCTCGAACTTGTCCCTATCCCTAAGATTGACACGCCAACAGGCGATGACAATCTTAGGGATGCGCCCTCACCGACCGTCCCGGCATTCTTTTAGTCCTACCACGAAATGTTCTTAGAACCCAAAAATGTTCTTCGAACCCAACAATGTTCTTAGAACCCCCAAAAAACAGCATTCTTAGAACGTAAGCCCCATGCGTTCAGACAAGACAGTCCCAGCAAGAAACGTTCTAAGAACATTTTATGGAAGCCACAACAGGCTGCTCGCGTTCACGCGCACGCCGGCGTTGCCTCCCCCAGGGGGGGCGGGCGCCGCGGCGGCCTCTCCATACCAGCCTCGAACTTGCCCCTCTCCCTAAGATTGACACGCCAAAAGGCGATGACAATCTTAGGGATGCGCCCTCAAAAAATAAGGGACCCCCTAAGATTGGCATCGTGATGAGGAGATGCCCAGCATAGGGATAGGGACATGCTCCAGGCTGGTAATCTCCCCCTCCACGGGGGGCGGCGCGGCACCCTGCGGCCAGAAGGGGCCCCGAGCGCCGCGCGGCGGGGCGGAACGAAGTCAGCTTACAACGCACCGAATAGCGACAGGGATCGACCTGAGCGGTGTTTTTCGTGCTCGTTTTGCTCAGCGCGAGCCCCCGGCGGACTGCTGTTTTCAGGATGTTCTGCAATGTTGGGGAATTTCTGGATTTTCTGGAATTTCTGATTATTTTGAATTTCTAACACTTCTGGATTCCTGGATTTTCTGCATTTAAGAATTTCTGGAATTCCGTTATATCTGAAATTTCGGGGGGTCCTGGAAATTGATTTGGAATCCCACCAGCCCTTAGGGCGACAGGTGGTCTAACGAGATTCCTCTTCCCTCTTCAACGAACCCATTTTCCCCTACGGGGAGGGGTTTACCCCTCCCCTTACCCCTCCCCTAGACATTTGGGGGGGGCCCCGCGAGATGTCAGGGCGTCCAAAAGGGCCTCGGCGAGGAAGCCAAAATCATGTGTTTACTTAAGTATTGGCCTCATGTTGGCCTCTTTGGGGAGAGGGGGGGGGCCAACGTTGCACCACCAGCCCTCTGGGAGCCAAAACCATTGGTTTTACACAGGTGTTGGCCCCATGTTGGCCTCTTTGAGGGGGACTGAACGTTCTCCCACCAGCCCTCTGGGCGCCCAACTCATTGGTTTTACCAAGGTGTTGGCCCCATTTTGGCCTCTTTGGGGGGGGGCTGAACGTTATACCATTCTCCTTTCATAGATGGCCTTCAAGATGGCCCCAGTAGGCCTTCCAGGGCTCCCAAGAGGGCCCAAGAGAGCCCCAAGAGGGCCCCAAGAGGCCAAGACCTTTAAAAGAGTCCCAAGAGAGCTCCAATACCCTCCCAAAGAGCCCCAGGAGAGCTCTAAGAGGCGATATTGAGGGCTCCTGGGAGGGGACCGAAATCGAGGATCCCCCATCTTTTGATCCACGCTCTCGTAGATGCTCCCAACAAGTCTTCCAGGGCACCAGCCGCAGCACCAGCAGAGGCAGCAACAACATCAGCAGCACCACCAGCAGCAGGAGCACCAGGGATCACACTCTTTGGATCCCTCCACCTCCTCCTCCTCTTCCTCCTCCTCCTCCTCATCATCATCCTCCTCCTCTTCCTCCTCCTCTTCCCCTCACCCCCACGCAGCCCCCAGGGATGGCCCGAAGAGGCCTGCCAAGGCCCCCCCCCTTGCTCCCAGAGATCTCTCGCTTCATCCTGGTTACTCGCCTTGTTTCCCTAGATGTGTCCCTTCGTCCCTTTTCCCGTCGGCTTCTGAATGGGCTGGTGGGGATACTTTTGGTCGCGGCCGCAAGCAACGGCGCAGGCGGCGTCCGAAGTCAGCCCCGGCTACGAGCGAAACCTAATTACCTAGCGCGCGCACTAACGGCTGCCGGAGCTGCCGCCGAGGGACGCCGGGCGGGCGCCGGGGGCTGAAGGCAGGGCTGCAAGAGCTGCCAGGTGCGCCAGGCGGCTGAAGTGCAAACACCCCAGGGGCGAAACCACCAGGACAGCAAACGACTTGAACCCTGTCGCGCCTGGCGCCAGGGTAAACGTGCCACCGAGCAGAGCACGGCATAGCGCGGGGCTGAGCAAGCAGCCCAGCGCACCTGTGTCGCACGCGTCTGGATGCTTTTTTTTGCACTGTTCTGCTGTAGCATATTATGACAAAGATCCGAAATTCCAAGAATTCCAGGACTTCCAGAAATTCCAGAAATTCCAAAAATCCGTTTAGCATCTGTATATATATGTGTATATATATATAGAATCCAAGAAAATATCCCGGCAAAGCAACCTAACAGCGACGTATATAAGTATATCTGGAAGCATTCCCCTTAAGATTCAGGTGAGAATCCAGTTGTAGAATTCTACTGTTCTCGCAGTAGTCGCAGTCGCATTCGCAATGACAGTCGCAGTGGCAACGGCCTTAGGATTCAATGGAATCCTAAGGATTCCTATGGATTCCTAAGGCATCCTTAGGCATCCTTAGGAATCCATAGGAATCCTTAGGAAACCTTGGGAATCCTTAGGAATCCTGATTTCTAGGGATTCCTAGGGATTCCTAAGGATTCCTAGGGAATCCTAAAGATTCCGAAGGATTCGCCTGCCTCGGCCTCAGCCTCAGCCTGCCTCAGCCTCAGTCTGCCTCAGCATCAGCCTCAGCCTGTCTCAGCTTCAGCCTGCATCAGCATCAGCCTCAGCCTCAGCCTCAGCCTGCCTCGGCTTGCCTCGGCCTCAGCCTCAGCCTGCCTCGGCCTCAGCCTCAGCCTGCCTCAGCCTCAGCCTCAGCCTGCCTCAGCCTCAGCCTGCATCAGCCTCAGCCTCAGCCTGCAGCTTGCCTCAGCCTCAACCACAGCATCAGCCTCAGCCTCGGCCTGCCTCAGCTTCAGCATCAGCCTCAGCCTTCCTCGGCTTGCCTCAGCCTCAGCCTCAGCCTGCCTCGGCCTCAGCCTCAGCCTCAGCCTGCCTCAGCCTCAGCGTCATCCTCTCAGCCTCAGCCTGCATCAGCCTCAGCCTCAGCCTCAGCATGCCTCAGCCTCAGCCTCAGCCTCAGCCTCAGCCTCAGCCTGCATCAACCTCAGCCTCAGCCTGCGTCAGCCGCAGCTTGCCTCAGCCTCAGCCACTGCCTCAGCCTCAGCCCCAGCCTGCCTCAGCTTCAGCCTCAGCCTCAGCCTTCCTCGGCTTGCCTCAGCCTCAGCCGCAGCCTGCCTCGGCCTCAGCTTCAGCCTCAGCCTCAGCCTGCCTCAGCCTCAGCGTCAGCCTCTCAGCCTCAGCCTGCATCAGCCTCAGCCTCAGCCTCAGGCTGCCTCAGCCTCAGTCTCAGCCTGCCTCAGACTCAGCCCGCCCCAGCCTCCTGAGCCTGCCTCTGCCTCAGCCTCAGTCTCAGCCTCAGCCTCAGCCTCAGCCTGCCTCAGCCTCAGCCTGAGCCTGTCTCAGCCTCAGGATGCCTCAGCATCAGCCTCAGCCTCAGCCTCAGCCTCAGCCTCAGCCTGCATCAGCCTCAGCCTCAGCCTCCCTCAGCCGCAGCTTGCCTCAGCCTCAGCCTCAGCCTCAGCCTCAGCCTGCCTCAGCTTCAAACTCAGCCTCAGCCTGCCTCGGCTCGCCTCAGCCTCAGCCTCAGCCTTCCTCGGCCTCAGCCGCAGCTTGCCTCAGCCTCAGCCTCAGCCTCAGCCTCAGCCTGCCTCAGCTTCAAACTCAGCCTCAGCCTGCCTCGGCTTGCCTCAGCCTCAGCCTCAGCCTTCCTCGGCCTCAGCCTCAGCATGCCTCAGCCTCAGCCTCAGCCTCAGCGTCAGCCTCTCAGCCTCAGCCTGCATCAGCCTGCACTCAGCCTCAGCATGCCTCTGCCTCAGTCTCAGCCTGCCTCAGCCTCAGGCTGCCTCAGCCTCAGCCTCAGCCTGCCTCGGCCTCAGCTTGCGTCAGCCTCAGCCTCAGCCTGCCTCGGCCTCAGCCTGCCTCAGCCTCAGCGTCAGCCTGCCTCGGCGTGGCTCAGCCTCAGCCTCAGCCTGCCTCGGCCTCAGCTTGCCTCGGCCTCAGCCTGCCTCAGCTCGGGCATTCAACATATGGCACAGGACTGGTGTTCTGGGAACACGAAGATCACGAAGTGGCCCACAGCTGGCTCCGGGCAATCAAAATTTGGTACAGGAATGGTGTTCCGGGAACACGAAGAACACGAACTGGAGTTTCGGAATTTCTGGATTTCCTGGAATGTTTCTTGGAATTTCTGGCATTTCGGGAATTGTTAGGATTTCTAGATTTCCTTGACAGTTTTTGAAGATCGCGGAATTTCTTGATTTTTCATGTTTGTAACAGTTGTATGATTTATTGGTTTCCTGCAGACTTTCTCGAATTTGAAAAATTTGTTGGCGAATTTTCAAAATTTCTGGAACTTCTGGAATTCTCGGAATATCTCTGGAATGTCTGGAACGTCCAGAATTCTTGGAAGTGCGGGGGGCAGGGGCCCGCATGTTTTACACCCTCCGCCGCCCGCCGCCCCGCCCCCCCTTTTTCGCCGCCTTTGCCTCCGTTCCCCTCCGCGCTCCCCCTCTTTTCCTCCTCCTCCTCCTCCTCCTCCTCCTCCTCCTCCTCCTCCTCCTCCTCCTCGTCCTCCTCCTGTTCCTCCTCCTTCCTCCTCCTCCTCCTCCTCTCCTTCCTCCTCCTCCTCCTCCTGCTCCTCCTCCCTCCTCCTCCTCCTCCTCCGCCTCCTCCCTCTCCTCCTCCTCCTCCTCTTCCTCCTCCTCCTCCTCCTCCTCCTCCTCCTCCTCTCCTCCTCCTCCTCCTCCTCCTCCTCCCAGTGGCCCTCCTCGTCAGTTCCTCCCAACGGCCCTCCTCCTCCTCCTCCTCCTCCACTACTCAGTATTCGCTTCTCACTACTCTCTACTCGCGACTACCCACTACACACTACTCACCAATGACTACTCAATACTCACTACTCAGTAGTCACTGATCACTACTCACTAGTCACTACTCCCTACTCACTACTCATTACTCAGTACTCACTACTCATTCCTCTCTTCTCACTTGACACAACTCACTACGCACTACCCACTACTGACCACTCACTACTCACAACCGACTACTCACTACCCACTACTCCCTACTCACTAATCCCTACCCTTTACTACCTACTCAGCACTCACTACTCACCACTCACTACTCACTACCAATTACTCACTACTCGCTACTCACCACTCACCACTCACTCCTCACTACGCACTACTCACTATTAAGTACCACTCACTACTCACTAAGAACTACCCACTACTCCCTACTCACTACTCGCTACTCTCAACGCAGTACTCACTACTCACTACTCACAATTCCCTACCCATCTTCTCCAGCGCAGAACGGAGCAGCGGGAGAGGCCCCCGCCCCAGCTCTCTGTCCCGCGCAAACGGGGGGAGGCGGAGGGGGGTTCGAAGCCCCCCCCTTTTCCAGTGCCAAGGGGGGGGAGATGGGGGGGTCCGGACACCCTCCCCCCCTTCAATGGAGGGTGGGGGGGGGGGTGGGGCGGACCCCTACCCCACCCTTAAGGTGGGGACGGGGGGGGGGGTCGAAAATCACACCCCCCCTTTGAAGGGTGGGGGTTCATCAGCACATTATCATCATCATCATCATCATCATCATCATCATCATCATCATCATCATCATCATCATCATCATCATCATCATCATCATCATCATCATCATCATCATCATCATCATCATCGCCACCACCATCATCATCACCACCATCATCATCGTCACCAACATCATCGTCATCATCATAATCAGTATCACCATCATCATCCTTATCATCATCATCGTCATCATCATGATCATCATCAGTATCACCACCATCATCATCATCATCAGCATCATCATCATGGTCATCATCATCATCAGCATCATCATCATCACCATCAACATCATCATTATCGTCATCCTCATCATCCGCAACATCAGCATCATCGTCATGGTCATATTCATCGTCATCGTCTTCATCACCAGCATCAGCATCATCAGCACCATCAGAAGCATCATCTGCAGCATCATCAGTATCATCATCAACATCAATACCATCAGCATCGTCACCCACATCACCATTATCAGCATCGTCGCCGAAGTCACTCTCAACAGCAGCATGACGATCATCATCGGCATCATCCTCAGCGGCGGCGCGCCGTCCCCAACATCATCATGAACCCCATCAATATCATCGTCATCATCGTCATCATCGTCATCATCATCATCATCATCATCATCATCATCATCATCATCATGTGTGGCCGGGTCTTCATCCTTCTCCGCCTCCTCCTTTCCCGTCAACTGATTATCCTTCTCCTCGTCCTCCTCATCGTCCATATCATCGTCATCGCCATCATGATCAGCAGCGTTAGCTTCACCATCTGCAGCAACAGCATGATCCCCCTCTATCGTCAGCACCGGTGTCATAAATGTTGCATTCCTCCTCATTCTCCTCGTCCCCCTCGTCTTCGTCCTTCTGTCCAGCTGCCCCCCCAAGGCATGCCAGGAGTCATCCACATCGTGGCAACAGTGAGCGCGGTGAGAGAGATCATCGGCAGGATAAAGTTGATGACGTAGAAGTGAGCGAACCTCTTGAGCCTCACGCGGTAAACCACCTCAGCGGCCGCAGCAGCTGATGAGTGAGAGGGGGGAGGGAAGCAACTAGAGGGAGGAGGACGCGAATGAGGGGGCTGGGGGGCGGACGTAGAAGGCCCGTGGGGACCTCCGAAACCCAACGGGGACCATCGATGACCTTCGAAAACGTACACGGACTTCAACCCACTTTTCACTTCCTCGTCCTCATGTTGCTCCTCCTCATCCTCTCCTCCTCTTCTCCTCCTCCTCCGTCTCCTGTTCCTGCTCTTGCTCCTGCTCCTCCTCCTCGCTCTCCTCCTCCGAATCCTTCTCTCAACCTCCTGCTCCTCCTTCTCCTCCTCCTCCTCCTCCTCCTGCCCCTCCTCCTCCTCATCCACCTTGGTCCCTTTCTTCATCGTCCTCGTCCTCCTCCCCGTCTCGCACCTTCCTCCATATCACCAGCATCACCACATCCTCATCATCCTCCGCATCATCATCCTAATTATCATCTCCGTGCCCTCTGACCCTCCTGGCCTACCTCCTCCACATCATCACCACCATCATCATCAGCAGCACTATCACCACCATCATCACCGCCACCTTCACGTTCAACGCTGACAGACAGACGATGGATGCCAGACGTAGTGTGTGAGAATTCGACCGGCCAGAACCGCTCAGGCCGACCGGGGCGAACGCAGGATGATAGGAACAAAAAGGGCAATGGGAAGATATTGGGTGGGAGCGGTAGGATGTCAGACACGCCGCGAGCGTACCAAGTTTGCCCTCCCCTCTTGCACTCCCCGCACCCCCCCTATACCCCTCTCTCCGTCCCACTCCTTCCCACAATTCCAAGCTCGACGCCTAAATCCTCCTCCTCCTCCCTCTCCTTTTCCTCCTCCTCCTCCTCCTCCTTCGCCTCCTCCTCCCCTTCCTGCTCTTCCGCATTCTTTTTCCAACTCAGCAATCCACCCTCATGCTTTTTTTCCTCCTCGTGCCCCCCCCTTCTCCCACCCACTGCTCCTATGGAGGCATCCCTGCCCGCCTCCCCTGAACAAACAGGCATTGGGGAAGCCACTTCGTCGAACGTCTGGTAGGTCGCCTTGTTCTTCTTCTCGCGCTGTGTAACGATGATGTTGTCGACCGTGAACTCCCTACTGTGAACCCCCTCCTGCGGACTGGGGTGCGGGACGGGAAAATGACCACAGCCACTGCTTCTTGTTTGCGCCGCCTTCCAGCCGGCCGAAAAAGAAGCAGTGGTTGTGGTCATTTCCCTGGTGCCAAGCTCAACGAAAATGACCACAACCACTGTTTTGTTTCTGCGGGCTGGAAGGCGGCATCAAAAGAAAAGCCGTCGCTGTGGTTGTTTTCGCGCCCCGTATGGGGGGAACAAAACAAAAACCGGCACCACCACTCCCGTGGCCTCTCCCATGGCGCGTCCTGGCCAGGACCCCGAAGCGGATCCTAAACCACGCGTCTTCGTGCATGCCGCACCGCTACGCTTTTTGTTCGGCGGCCCGCAAGGAAAAGTCCAGAGGGCATGTCAGAAGGCAATTGGGCGCAATGCCAAATAATTAGTGAAGGCCAGGCCACGACTGGAGGGAGCCGCCAAGAGGGCGCCAACCCACAGACGAGCAACATGCAGAACAGGGCAGCAAGCCAACCGCACCGCTACGCGCGACGCGCGGTGATCTCCGCGCCCCCGCGCCGCCGCCCTGGAGCAGCACGCCTCTCCGGCCTGCCTGGGCCGCGACGGGAGCGGCGCCCTCCCCTTCGCGCCCCCCGCGGGTGCCCCCGGCGGGCGCCCGGCGGCGGCCGCGAGGGCCCGACGGGGACCGGGAGGGCCACCAGAGCACAGAGCAGGACGAAGCAGAAAACGAGGAAATCGGCCTCGGCATACAGTTGGGGCGTTGACCTAAGGAACCCTAAATAACGAACGAGGCCCCTTTTTTCCATAATTTAACCTTCGATTTCCTGTCGAATACATAAAGAAAGCCTGAGGCAAGCAGTGAAACACTTGAGGAACGCGGAGCCCCTCCCCAACGAAAAGGGTTCCTTCTTCAGGGCCGCGACTGTATTTGCCCACGTTTCCAGATCCGTCGACCCCCCCCCCCCCCCGGGACACCAAACCGGGAACCTGACACCCCCCACGGCCCCGGATGGCCCGGGCACGGGGCCCCCAAAACGGAGGCCCCGCGAGAGCAAATAGTCGCCCAATAATTTTGCCACGACGCCAAAGATTGCTTTTAAACAGCCCAAGATGCCCCGAAGAATGCCCCAAGAGGCCTCCACGAAGCCTCCAAAGGGGCCGCCAATAGGCAAACATCGTCCCATTCCTTTGTGGAAGCGGACATGTTTAGCAGATTCGCCTCGTGGGCTTTCGCAGCGTCAATGACGGGCCAAGAGGCCCCCAAGAGATCGGCAACTCCAAGACGGCTCAAGACGGCTCCAGAACAGCCCCAAAAGGTGGCCCAGAGGGGGAACCCGAACGGACAACCGCTTGCTCCACTGGCGCATGTGGTTATGCCGGAATTCCTGCCCCCTTTGAACCCAGACATCCAGATACTCCTGCAGCCGCGCGCAGCCTTCCACGCTCACCTGCGTCTCACTTGCCTATCCGCTCAGCGCCTTCGTGGACAT